GTAAGCAAAGACTTACAGGAAAAATTAATACAAATAGTAATGAATTTTAGTATTGTAATAAGAGGAGAATAGTAAAAAGAAGGGTATGTTTCCCATCTGCACATTTTCTCTCTTGCAACATGATTCCCTTTAACCCTCTTCCCATCAGGTCTATCCAGAAAGGCCTGTTGCAAATATATCCTCCCTTCTATCCCCCTTCTTTGTCCACATCTCTTCACATCCTTTGTTGCTTCCTCTCCTGTCTCATATCCAAGCTGACTTCTTTCACTTCCTAGAGTTCTCAAATGCTTGTACAGAGAGGTTAACTCCAGTCAACCACCTCCAAACCAAAATGAGAACCAAACCCAGGCTCCTTATACATGTCTCATGTCTACAGCCACGTACCATCTCTTGTCCACGACTGTAGGCTCTCTCCATCAGGCACTCCTCACATTCTGTTCTCACACAGTACTTCCAAGACAAATACTTGGGTTAAATACAGCAACTGTCATTGCCTAAGTCTCAAGTATTCAGCTGGTTTGGTCTACTGACCTCAACTCTATTGTACAATGCTCAAAATCCTACCTCTTCCTGCATCCATCCCCACCCAGAAGTGCTGGGAGCAATTCAGAGACACAGTGGTTTGTATGTGCTCACATCAAGAGACCTCACATACCCCCTCTGGTTATTTTAATGGTTTTCCCAGACACAAGACCTGCTTTAAAAGATGGAAGCAGCCTCAACAGCAGAGCTGCAGCTTTTGGTGAGATGGTGAAGTAAAAAACATAATCCTAAACTGATCAGGCACTACCTTTGAGAAGTCTTCCAAGATCATCTTCTGACGGGCTCGCTCATATGGGTCTGAAGGCATCAGCTTCTTCTCTGGAAATGCCTCATCTAAATATTCACAAGTGATTGGGGACTCCCAGATCAGCTGGCCCTTGCTGGTCTCCAGAATGGGGACCAGCCCAGAGGGGTTCTTCTCAAAGAGCCAGTCAGGTTTGTTCTTCAGATTGATGTTGATTATTTCATGGCTAAAACAGCAAAAGAAACAAGATCCAGACAGGCTCAGTTCTGCTACAGTCCACTCCATACTGTGGTGAAACACAAGCCATTACACCTCAAAAGTTCAGTACTGAGAGGCTGAATCCTCATTCCCCCGCACTCCCCCATTTTCCCTGAAGTCTTTTGCAGGACTAATCCTTTGATACAGAAATACTGCCATACTTTGCTGAAGAAAGTCAGGACTGACTTAAAATGAGTTGTTTGTTGAACTAATAAAAGACACATGCACAGTCTGCAAGCATACTACAGAGGCAGCCCTTATTGTCATGCTAAAAGCAAAGGTCAGAACTCAGCACACTTATCACATGTGGGTTCAAGGGCATTATAAAAAAATAAATACTTAACTGCCAATAAGCTATACTTCAATTAAGAAATGGAGCTGAACTTAAACCTGTCCTTACACCAAAGAGCAAATCAGGAGGGCATCCTACCTACTTATCTTCCCAACCTATGGCCATAAAACAGGTATTTAGGGTAAAGGCAAATATACTGATAAAGAAAAAGATACATGGGAAATATGTCTATATTAATAAACCGTAAGTTAAATGCTGTGCTATATGTGTGACCCCAGAAAATTCCCAGTAAACCCAAAGGTCTGCTAAACACAGCTGAACCTTCAAAAGCACTGAAAGGTTACCAGAAGGCAACTACCACATCTAGCCATAAATGTCCTCCAGAATCACTACAACAAACCTCCCAGCTCCAAAATCAATGCGAAGACACTAAATAAAGACAAAATTATACTGGCCTGGAAGTTGTACTGCATCTACTCTTTCAAAAAAAGAGCCACGGTAGAACAAAAACTCAACTCTCACCTTGCTATCAGGAGTACTGAATGGCAAGCGTTCCCTGTTACATGAACTCCCAGCCCTGTGTTGGTTAACAAACCATTGGTAGGCCTGAGACTTAGCAGAATCAGAAAAAGATGTAAAAACCTGTTACTTTGAAGTTTAGACTGAGGGGAACATTGGACCCCATTTAAGAACACTGAAATGACATGGCTATCTTGAAAAAAAATATAAACACTACTACTGAATGCCATTAACTAACTATAGCACAGGAACGAAACAATGTTATAGAACACAGTGCGCTTCTTCTTTCAAAAAGGCCACTCACTATTGTGTTTTGCTGGGCAGTAATACAACAGAAACGCTGAATATTCGTAGCTCCCAGAACTTTCACTGCCGCTCTCATCAAAAACAAACAAAAGTGTGTGTTACATCTCCACTCACATTTACCCAGGATAAGCTCCAATGCTATAACTGTAAACATTCATGATGACCAGCAAGAAGAAAGAAAAAAATAATCAGCTTGGGGTTTTTCCCTATAAATTTAGGCGATTTCCCTATGGATTTGGGCAATGCTTGCAGGCACAGCGTGTGCCTTTTAGGGATGTCCTGTGCAGGGCTGAGTTGGACTCGATCACCCTCGTGGGTCCCTTCCAACTCAGCATATTCTGTGGTTTACTTTGGGCCTTTACAGCCCTCCCCCCCCCCAAAAAAAACCAAACCAAACACACACACAAAAAAAAAAAAAAAAAAAAACCAAAAAACCAAACAAACAAACGCGTTCACTACAAGCTTCAGAGCAAAACCACTTCCTGAGACCTCTTTTCAATCAGTTCTTCCTGGATTGTTTTAACGAGGCCGATTTAGGAGAGAAGGGAAGGCTGGGGTGCAGGGGCCGCGCAGAGCTCACCTGATGCCCTTGGCGCGGAGAACCAGGCGCGTCCTCTGCGCGTAGGGGCAGAACCTCATGCTGTAGAGCCGCAGCAGCCCCCCGGGCACGGGCCCCGGCGCCGCGCTACCTGCGGGGACAGAGGTGTTACCGCCGGCACTCCCCCCAAGCCCCCCGCAGCCCCGGCACCGCGCCGCTCACCCTTGCCCAGGCTGCGGGAGTGATCGCCCGCCATCCCGATACGATGCGATGTGTCGCGATCTGCCCCGTCCCACCGCGCCGCGCCCACCCCAGCGCCGCCGGCCCCGCCCGCGGGGGGCGGCCACGGGGCGGGCCGGAGCCACCGCCCTCAGCTGGCCGGGGAGCAGCGCCCGCCTCCATCCTTCGCTCCCTGCCTCGGGGGTGCGGGGCCCAGTGGTCTCTCCTTGATCTGAGTGCCCTCCCCATCCAGCTGGGACAGGCACGGTCAAGCTGCTCTCTGCACTGTCAACCCTCTCTCCGGTTATACCCTCAGCACAACCACCGCGCTGGCGCTCCCGTGTAAATGGAACACCCACGGCCCAACCCCACCCCGCAGGCCAGGTGTTTGTTTACAAGCAGTGCCCCCAGCAGCTGGCGAGGCACCAGGCTCCCCTCACCGCTTCCTCCTGCTACGGCAGCGCTGCATCACCCCCTGCCCTGCAAAACCCGCAGAGACAAGGAGGGCTTCTGTCTCCTGCAGCTATTCTGCTTCATGCTGAAAGCACGAGAGGAGGAAAATAGATAACCCAACAGACAAGGGGGCACAGCGAAAGTTAGTTTAACTTCATTACTACCTTGCAGTTACAGAGGGCTTCATCGCCTTGTTCTGACAACAGGGCCTGTTGGGAGCATCAGTGTGTGCATAGAGCAAAAGAAAGAAAACACAGGCTGGAGTGCTCAACTTATCCCTTTAGCTCCCTCGTCGGTTGAGATGAGGGCACCAGGGCCTTCATAATACCATCTTTTCCTGGGGTATAACGGTGGAAATGTTATAGGAGGACCTTTCATCTTAACGTGTTTTACACACAGTGTCCAAGTTGATATATAACCAGAGAAGTAAAGTGATTACTTTGCCAGGGCTCCACACCCTTCCACCTAATCTTCAGGTCAGAGCTCTTTGTTACTAGGAAACAGCACATTTATAGGGACGAGAGGGCTGGGGCAGCCCTTGCCAAAGGGAGGGAGAGTCCTGGCCTTCCTGGCAATGTACACATCTCTGTCAAACCCCCATGGCTAATAGAGGGACTGGGAATTCTCCTGTCTCATCCATCAGTGGATCCTTACTTGTACAGTTGGGGAAGTTCCGACTTTTGGTCCCTCTGAGTACCTATCCTTAGGAAAGATTCAGCAAAATTTTGGTGAGAGAAAATAATTTGAAATTTCTCATAGCAATTGAGAAACACACAAGGAGTCTGTTGACTCACATGGGAACCCAGAGCAGCATTAGAACACCCATATGCTACAACAGGCCCTCAGAGGCACCAGAGAAAATAAACCAACTTCCTCATTCTCTCCTGGCTCTGTGTGGCACACAAAGCAGCTGTGGAGACAAAAGGTAAGGAGGCAGTTTGTCCTGCTGCCTCTGGACATGAATGTCACGCTCCACTGTTACTCTGAGTACACAGCAGTATTACAACACTGCATGCTGCCACTGTAAGTTAAATAACAGCAAGCTAACACAAACAAGCAAGACACTATAAATTATGTTCCTCCCTTTAGGGAAGGGAAAAGGAGATCTTTTTAAAAGCCACAGTTACACAAAGACCACAGCTGTACTTCTTTTTTTTTTTTTTTTTTCCCCAGCAGCCTTCTTAGCTCTCTGAAGCTTCAGGAGCCCTATCTTCCAAGAAGAACCATAGTACCTTGTAGAACCATTAAGGTTGGAAGAAACATCTAAGATCATCAAGTCCAGCTGTTCACCCAGCACCACCACTGCAGCCCCTAAACCCAGCACCAGATCCAGATGCCTTGTAAACACCTCCAGGAAAGGAGGTGTTCCTCATAAACAAGTCCACCAGGAAAGACACAAGAGGTGACAGGAAAACAGCCCAACTGCCTCACTAACAGAAGGGCAGCTGACACTGGCCCAGGAGCAGGGAGGGGCACGCAGGGTGACCGAGAGAACAAAACACCGCTCACCCGGCCATGACCACAAGTACCTCCTGCTGCCGCTAAGGCCCTTTAAATACCCGTCCGCGCTCAGTGATTGGCTGGCGCACTAGCGCGGGCCAATCAGGTGTGCGCTCCGAGGCTGGCCAATGGCGGACGCCGTTGCTGTTGCCAGGCAGGGGCGGCAGCGGCGCCGGGGGCGATGGCGGCGGGGCCGGGCCCCGGCCGGGACGCGCTGGAAGTGAGGTGGGGGCGGCCGGCACAGCCTCCACACGGGCCCCGCGGTGGTGGGGTCTGCCAGGGCAGCGTGGGCGGAGAGGGGAAGAAAGCACGTGCTCCCGTTCCCCTCTGGGCTACACTTGACTCCTCTTGCGTGTAGCGAAAGAGGCCAAGAGCGGAACTCCTCAGAAAAGATAACGAGAAGTTATTGCTGGACGTAAATATCTCGAGACTAGTAATTTTAATATGTTTGTAAGTATGAGAGGTGGTGAGGCTGTAGTACCATCTTCTAAGTACAAAGGGTCAGCAGCTGAGCTGATCCCGTGGCTGACTTATGTTCGTGAACAGAGCATAGAAGTGCTTCTGGCAATTGCAGAGCAGAGGTCTCTCCCAGTCAAATGCTCTCATGGGAAGAAGAGCAGAGATGAGGCGTTTCTGAACGGAAATCAGAAGAGAAGGTGGTAACAGCGGTGTTGTGCACTGAGGGTGCCTGGTACACTGCTGGAACTTGCCTGCCGTGGTGCTGGCAGGCTAAACTGGCACCCTCAATTAGTGATAAATGCCTTTGATAGGAGGACCCTGATGTTTATCCACACAATTTCTGAAAGGTAAAAACATCTGCAGGCAGTTATGAGTTTGTTGACGTGTTGTAAGTTCATAAGCTGACTCCGCTTCAGTAATTTATTTCAGTCCTTGTGTAACACATCCTGTTTACATTCCAGAGTTTTGCCATGTTAAAGTACTGGTGTCTTTAAAGCAGAACAGTCCTCCTGGTTGGTTCATATAAACACAAGCTGTGCCTTCGTATTTTTTTATTTTATGGGGATGAGATGAACTACGGAAGTGTAAAAAGGTTAAACCAACACAGTGGGGTCCCAAGTATGGATTGTAGCTCTGCAATTTTTTCAGAATAGGGGTATATCTTTTACTGTGATACATGAGGACGTAACCAGAGTCTGTGAACTAATTTTATTTTTAGTGAAAACTGAAAGGAATACAAACGTTTCTCCATATTTTTACACCAGTCTGTTGTGCTCCATCAGGGCAAGATTGACCCTATGTTTTTGAAAACACTGAACTGGTGACTCTTAATACAAGATCTTGAAGTTATTGTGGTTTTACAGCATTGTTGTGGAGATGAATCTAACAAATCCCAAGCGTGGGTTCAGTGTAACTTAGGCTACAACATTCCCTTTATTTTGAGAAATGTGTGTCACCGATTAGTGTTTTAATGTTCAGTTGCTGTATTTTCAGTTGGGTTCAGGGATTCTCAAACAAGAACTTTGGCTTTGTCAACAATCAAACTGTCTGCTACCCCCGTGGCAATTACATCCTCTTCCTGGACCTGGAAACAAAGAAGACAACAGCACTACAGTGTGAGACAGGCCCTGTGGGAGCCTTCGCAGCAAACGCCAGCAGTGAAGTGGTGGCCTTCTCCGACCGGAAGCTGAATCCCGTCATACATATCCACCATTTCCCAGAACTGAATAAACTGACAGAATTAAAAGGTAGTGATGTGGTAACCTTCCTCATCACCATTTCATTAAAACAATACTTTAATAATCCAGTTTCTGAAGTGTTGTTTGGTTTTTTTTTTTTATAAGACTCGAAAAACAGTGTGACAGGGAACTGACTCGGGATGAGATTCATGGAAAGCAGTGGAAGGAATTTTCCACTGCACTGCTTTTACTTAGGTTCAAGCTGGGGAGGAATATGACAATACATAAAGAAGCTGATCTGAAAGGAAAACAAAAGGAATTAAGTGGAATTAGTTTTAGGAAAGTATAGTTATAATGAGCAAAAAAACCCATACTGCAGTAGGCTCCCAAGCAGACTGCCTATAGCCACATGAGAAACCCAAGGTGTGAAAGCAATGAGGGTTCTTGCAGTTAAACGGTGGAGTCTGAGATCTAATACAGATTTTTGACTGCCTCATAACATTTCTCTCCTTAGTTAAGTTGTTTACCCTATCATGTTTCAGTTCCCTTGTAATTTAAATAAAGCTCATACTACTTGCTTTTTTAATGTATATGAGTGAAATTATGACTGTAAAGGATTTCAGGGTACTTGGGGAAAAATACAATTTCAAGGTATTATTGAAAAAAAAATTGAAAAAATTCCAAGAAGTCATACATAGGGAACATTGTTGTGATCAAATCAAAAGAAGAGTCTGGAGAGAGGCAGAGAAATCAAGGGCCTGAAGAATATCTTTGAAGAATTAAAGTGGATATAAGGGAAGTGAGAAGAGTATTTGTGATAATGTACAATAAAGTCTGGGGCAATAAAAGACCATGTGCTTTATTTTTACATTTCAGGTAGTGCTCAGCTGGACTACACCTTACTTGCGTTTAGTTTCACAGGCCCGTATCTAGCCAGTTACTCCTCCATCCCAGAATTTGTTCTTTCAGTATGGTAAGAGTTTAAAAAAAAAAATCTCTAATACCATTTGCATTTAATTCATATTTTTGTGTGTGTGCTTTCTTAGCATATATCAATAAATGTAGAACACATCCTAGTTGCCTTCATCTCTTTTTTCTTCCTGATTGATTGTTGTCTGCAAACTTTCTGTAACCAAAATTGCTGTTTATTTTCTAGCATTAGTAGCCACTAGTCAAAATAGCTGTTAATTTTACCAGACCTATCTTCTACCTTCTTCCAAATTTTGTGGTTTGGAGTACTTCCAAACTCTTCAGCCTGATAACTATCTGTTCACTGTTGGAAGTTGAGCACCATGCTGTTTGTGGAAGAAAGTTGCCTGCTGAAAAGAGGAAAAGGATTCTAAAGCTGATTTGTGCTGGTTTGTCCCCCTGGACTGTTCAGTGGTCCTCTTAATTACTTTTGCTTGATCTTAGTTCTGGCTTTATAATTTTGCTCAGTGATTACAGTAACATGGATCACTGGATTAGAACATAATTTTCTGGTCATTGTCATTTAAAAATAGTATATAACATGGTGCAAACACAAAAAGTTGGAATATTTAATATTTTAATTATACTGTAAGAATACAGTCCTGCTCTTGCCTCCGTTGTCAGCAAGCTCCCATTGACTATGGAGTGGGAGGGTGGAGTAGAAGGAAGACGAGCAAGGACATGTAAGGAATAGTTTGTATAGTCCCATTTTAATGATCTTCTCTTGTACAATGATTATTGAAGCTGCAGAAACTCCTGTAACTTCTGAATTTTAGTAATGATAGTAGATACTATTAAAGATGCCTCTTCTTTATCCCTTATGAAGAAGAATAATGTTTGCTGTTCAGGAAGGACGTCTGTGTGTGTATCACACTAGAAACCAGCAAGACAGCCTCACTGGCCTCAAGAGCTGACACACTTGTCACTTCCAGCAGGAATAACACACATGGTCCAACATGTTCATTGTGGGCACTTAAACTAAAATCCACCATCTTGACAGACTTCTCTAGATTATTCTTAAAACCAGACATACCCAGAAATGTTTAAATGCTTTGAAGTAGTGGCAATTTCCAAGGCAAAACAATTTTAACCACTTTGAATCAGTTTGTTACAAGTATCAGCACCTAGTTGTCATAAAAAACCACCCTACGTTCCAGTCAGAAAGAATTTAGTGACAAAATACAATTACTTTACAATATTAACCTTAGAATTTATAACTTGAACAGAGGTGTGTGAATTTACTGTGAAATCAGAACCTTCATTTTTTTGTAATTGGATTATATGGTGCATTCATTGTAGAAATGTGTGTATACAGATGATAGAAACCTCAAGGTTTAGCATTCTTAAGGTGTCATTACAGTATGATGATTGCACAGCTCCTGTATTTTAAGGAGCTAGTTTGGAATCAGAGATACAAGAGATATTTTGAAAGTTATGTTGGTCTCAAAATACATAAAGCTTATGGATGACTAAAAGCTGCCATTCGTCTGAGATATTTTATCCCTAGATCTTTATTCTTTTCTGTTTAAAGGAGAGGCTTAATGCCAGATTCTTTTCCAGATACATGTACCATATAGTTTCAGATCTTAGTAAATTATCTACTGTAAAAGAGTGTTGGCATTATCTGTTAGGTATGAGACAAGAACACGCTGACAGACTTTTAGAAAGAAATCTACACTGATATCTTTAAAGTTCAGAATTGCAGCCTATAGATTCATGTAATTTTAATGAGGGTTACTGTGTATGTGTGAAATACTTCTCATTTTTTGCACATGCTGTCAATGTTAACCATTGTCTTGCATCCTGATCTGTTTCTGTGAGTGAATTTATTGCAGACCAGAATAATGGGATTATACTGAATCCATTTACAGCAGAGTATGCATTTTAGGCTTTTTCCTCTTACCAATAATGACAAATTAACTAAAGCTATAAATATTATTTAGATTAACAGTCAGATATATTGTCTAAGAAATTAAGAAACAGTTTTAACTGTTTTCTTCAAATTATGTTAATCAGTTCTTGGACACCACCTAAAAGTGCAAATGCAATCAAGAATTAATCTGCATAATGGAAAAACATGCAAATTGCATGAGGAGAACATAAAATATTTGTGGACAAAATGTAAAATATACTAGACAAAGGAAAAGTCAGTGAAAAGCAGATTCCCAGGCTTCTGTCAGCTATACATAACAGCTCCTCACAAATTCTGCTGTGATTTCTGCCCAAGTTAGTTCATGCAGCCATGGCTTGTACATCTTCATTCACAACACGATTACTGTATTAATTAAGTAATTAATCCATAGATAATCACAGGCTAACTGTGTTTTATTTCCTAATTATAATACCTTTCTGCTGCAACCATTACAGTCATTATGTTATGGACTGTAAAAGCAAGTCTGGGGTGCTGAAGAGTTAATTGTTTAGGCCCATTTGGTAGTCACTGATGGAACTGTTGAAAAAAAAATCCATTTCTCTTGACTCTGTTGTTTTTTTCACAAGAGGAAGTGCATGATAATGTTTCTAAAATGTTAGTTATTCTTTTTCTAGTGGTAATAATTTTATGTGTGGATAATTAACCGCATCCTTTTCATTCTCAAGAGGACATAACTTGTTTGGCATCAGAAATTTTTTGTCAGTGACAAGGTATTTGTTTTCCAAACTGGATCTTGAACATCAGTCATAATCACATCCAAATCTTTGGCTTGAATGTTTTTACTTATTTAATGGATTTGATTTTCTTTTACTCTCCTTAATGAAGGAACTGGCAAGAAAGTATCCTCCTGTGCAGTGAGTCTCAGCCAGGGATAACAGGAACCTCTTTAAGTTTTAACCCTATAAACTGGCAACAACTGTGTTTTGTTGGTGAGAGCTCCGTTACCATCTGGCACGTTGAAAGGATTAAGGACGAGCATCACCTTAAGCGAAAGTAAGTGGAACACCCTTTAGGTTGAGAATAAAACGTAGAAGTATATTTTAATAACCAAGACTAGCAACACATCTATTTGCAAAGGATTTAGTCCAATTCAGTTCATCTAGCAGTTGCAATCAGTAATTGCTAAATCATAAGCACTATGAATCCGTCTAGTCAATCAAGTGAATTGAATTTATGATTTCATTTCTTACCGCTCACATGACCAGATTATGCACACCATGAAGCTCATACTAATCAGCTGCTTTGGCAGCCTCCATGAAAAGCCGTGTGACTGAATCAAGGTAGTGCCTGCTCTGCTTTTATATAAGTAACTGTGTTGAGCATTGCTTTTGTGGCTATGAAACCATCAAATTTGGATCTGTTTCCTCCTTGTAAGTATAGTTAAACAATATGTTGTTGTAATCAAAAACTGTACCAAAAGCAGTATCAGTTTTCTATGTAATTTCCATCATCATCATGGCTAGGCTTCGCGAACAAAGATCCGAGATCCAAGTAATTTCCAACTTGTGTGGCTAATTTACAGATCCAGAGGGAGTGGCTCTGTCAATGCAATTCACTGAGCACACTAAACTAGTATTTCTCTATGCTAAAATGTTTTTTGAGGTTGGTATAAAAGTAGTATGTATCATTCAAGTTGGAGTCCTCCAAGTATAGCACCTATGCTTTTTCAGTGGCATTCCCATACTCTGCCATTCCCAACTGTGTTTAATCTTGTTAACTATTAATATGAGCAACATATTCCACTGACACAGATACTAATGAAAGTATAGACAAGGCCTAAATTTGCAATCTGAAAAGAACACCAAAGGGTTCTGTGCCTTTTCTCATTATGGAATACATGTGTAAAGATATATATGTATTCCCTTTTTCTCCATTACTTTTGCAGAAATAAAGCCCACTTTGAAAACACGTTTCTCCATTTTGTATCAGCATTTATTATACATATTTCTTCTCCTCAGACTGTGTCTTTTACTTTTTCACAGCCCTGTGGAACTCCCCGATGAACAAGGGTCCATAAGTCCTCATGAGGATTTGTTTTTCCCAGTTTCTTGTAGTGATGATCCATACCATGGCCCTGATTTGCCAGTTTCAGCCATTGCTGGACTGGTAGGAGATGAAGCAGAAACATTTGTGGTAGTTATTGAATTTTTTCCTTTTTACTGTTCCAAGTCATTATACTTTCTATGCAAATAAGTGTTAATAAATTAATAATTTTAATGTTTGTTAAATAGGTACAACCCAGTAAATAGATCTGTTATCTCAACAGTATTTTTGAAATCCATTTTGACAAGAGATGGAGAAGGCACAATGCTGCTGCCTAGTGCAGTGCAATGTTGAGATTTCTGACACAGGCCCTAGCACAGTAACATATCTGCAGTGGAGGTACTTCTGTATCCCAGAAGAAGCATGAAGTGTGTCAGCATTTAACTATGCCCAAGCTAACACAACCTGCTGAAACCTTGAAAACCTATTCTTATTCTAAACTATTAGTAACCCTCAGGTATCCTTATTTCCCTTTGGGATTGCTTTCTTTTTGACATTCAAAATGTCTCAAGATATAGAAACATTGAAGGCTTTTTTCCAGACAGCAACCCCTGCTTCTGAATTACCTTTCCATACCACTGTCAGTGTTGGACCTGGCCATTTGTGTCACTTGTATTAGATCATTTACTTTTTAACCTCCCTTGAAATGCCTCTTCTGAGAGGCTTCAGAAGTGTTCTCATTTTGTTTGAAATTTACTTTCACCTGAGTACCAACTAGAAGTGTGAAAACATTTAACTTGCAAATTTTAGGATTCTCTTCTAAGATTAAGGCCATTGATTGCTGAGTTCCTCTGATATCGTCAGACTACAGTTGCTGGAATGGACCAGGCTGTCCAAAATAGAGGTGCTGTAACCACTGTTCTTCACTGTCTTTATAAAATGACAGTCTGCTGTGGCAGATATATCAGTGGTCACTGTCACTGATGGTTTGCATACCAATACAAATGTCCATGAGCAGTTATCTGGCTCTGGCCCAAAATCTGTTCCTCAGCTTTTGGAAATACCTTGGAGGTATTTTCTTCTCTACTGGCCCTTGGATGCTGTATCCTGCTCCTAAGGAATGTGTGAGAGGCAAGCAAGAAAAGGAAGCCCGTTGCCAGTGTGATTGGATGCTTCTTGGAAATGCGTCAGTGTTCCATACTCTACAACCACATACTGAGGTTGGATGTGTACCCAAGTGTAACCACAGCGGGGCAGCAGAGGGAAAGAAATTGGAATATCCTACAGCTTTCAATCCTTTTTTTTCTTGCATTAGGTTGATTTAGTTTTGTTTTCTGTATTTCTTTAAGCTGGGACCTGAATTTTCTTAATTTGCTTTTCCATGACAAGCCTACTTGAATCCACTTCATCTTCACCACCAATTTGATTTCATTGTCTTTTTATAAAATGTTTTGATGTCAAGGAGCCATCATGGATTTTATTCCCCCTGAAGAGGTGCGACTCAAAAGGGAGAGAAGTTCAAAAAAAGACAGCATTATGATTGTGGTTATTATTATGCACCACCTTACCAATGCACAGTTCAAGAAGCAACCTGGTTTGGGATTTACATAATCTCATCCTAGGATTAGCATATTTTATCTAGTTAATGTGTAAAGACAGTCAGGACAGCAGGTACAAAGTAATATTACAGAAGTTGTGTTTACACAGGAAGCTTCAGTGTTGCAGAAGCTCAGTTACAACCTTCCCAAAGATTTGTGATGTTCAAGCCTCATAAAATCAGTGAAAATGCCTATATTAAATGTTTCTCTGCGTGATGTAAAGCCCTATTTGCTATAGATTTATTACTGTTAGTCCTATTTGATTTATAACATAAATATTAATGTACTTTATTTCTGTAACATTTTTCCCCTGAGAAATTAAAAATGCTTTGTAAGCATAAATAGTAAGTTACTTACCGAGAATCATATAGCAAATCATTGGCATATTTTGCTAATGCAGTCTAGGTACTTGTGAATCTCTGCCCTATGTTTTCATCACAAGTCCATCTATATTTTCTCTTTTTATAGAACCTTTAGTGAGACAGCAGGTGCTCACTGGTGTCCTTACCAGTTTGGCACACATGCATGGTGCTTGGAATTGTCTCTTTTAAATGTTTTCCCAAGGTTTTCCTGTGTTTTGTTCCCCTCTTCCCCTCCCTGAATTCTCTTTGATCTGGTTCTTTCTATCATTTTCTATGAGGGGTATTTTTATGTCCCCTGTTACTGTTGTATCTGTCTTTAATAATATTTGGTGGAGAAGTTCTGTTCTTCCTGTTTTATGGTTGACAGATTTATGAGAGTTTTTTTAGCAAAATGAAACTCAAGGCACATAGGAAGTCTGGGTCAGGGATATTTCTAGCACTAATCTGCAGATGACACAAAGGATGAAAGAGCTGTTTTACAGAGCAATTTGGGTTATACAGTAAGATAAGCTATTCAAACAAAATGTGTTTTAGTAGTGCCAAGTATGCAAGAACCACATGTTTATGTGGTCAGACTTTATGAGGTAATGATCTTTTTTTCTTTTGCCTTGAAATGAATGTAACTGCTTGTAAGGGTATTTGTCAACTGTTGATTGAACTTGTCTATTTTCATGCTGAAGCCTAGAAATAGTATTAAGACTTTCGTGCATCCCACTGCCCACTGCTGGACTGCATCCTCAGAAATATACATGGGCTGTAGAGAAGGATATATTTTGGCAATTGATGCTGACAAACACAGTGTTTCTATTCTTCAACCAAAACCCCCACCTGGTAAGAAATATCTGTGTGTGTGTTTTATTCAAGTAGGGAGGAAAGTGGATGGGTAAAAGCTTTTTGTGCTTTCTTCTGTTGTCCTGTTGTGTACCTTACAGAAATTATAAAGCTATAGAGCAGAACCCTCCTCTTTTTGTAGTATGGTAAACATCTGAGAATGTCTTTTGAGCTTCTGTGTGTGTTTCTTTAGTCAATTCTTTCCCAATAGTTGACTTTCACTTTTCTTTGGGGGGAAAAAAAGGAAAAAAAAAGAAAAAAAGATAAAAGGAAAAAACCTCAACCCCTCTAAATACATCAAAATTGACAAAATTAACTGTATTTCCGGGAGCCCAGATTGTATTAACCACCATACTAGATTGACATTAAACTATTCATATACCAACTAGACACAGTCTTATTGCTATTAGTTAAATACCTATAATTTATTTTATTTTACATGAAATATTGGATAATCTTCATTTGCTGTGTTAGGTGTTGTTAGAAGTGATCTCTGAGGACTTATTATGAGTCTTTAAACAACAAAACTGAAGTACTGTTGCTTAATAGCATTCCTTAATGTCAGCTCTTACACAGACTGTTTTAGAATGAAAACAAGGCTGTAAAGACTACCAGGCTTTACTGCAGAACATATGAACACAGAGAGTGAACAGAAGATGTCTTTGGCTTCAAACAAAGAAATCTGCTTTTAATTTATTCTAGAATGGGAGGACCTCTGATTGACTGCAACTCACCAAGGCGATTTGTCTGCCCTATATGTATTCCCCATTTTATTTTCTTCTTTTTTTCATATAATTTTTTTGAGCTGTAGCAAGTATCTCTGACTTTCACTTTTGATAGTTATCACCAAAATGGAAGGCAGCTTCAAAAAAAACCCAAACAAACAACAAACCAGAATTATTTCTCTTTTTGAAACTATCAGTGTTAAATTTAGCAAATCAAGAGTTGAAAATCATCAAAAAATAAAAAGATGAGGCGTGACTAGAACCGGGTTTTGTCAGTTGAGTAGAAGGCAACAAGAATATTTGCCATTTGGGCTTTTTCTTGGCCTGCAATGTCTTCTTTAAGTCCTGTCCTAAAACTGTATAGAAATATGGTCTGTATTTACATTATACTGAAGCTTCTGCTAATTTAAAACACACTGCAGTCTGTATCTATTTAGCAGAATGCTTAAGTGCATGTCCATCTTTAAGCACATGCTGAATTCCTGTTATGGTGTTGCAAACAGAATCATAAGCAGCCCCAGCATTTCACTTGCATTTTTTTCAGACTGGCTGAAGTCTCCTTTGTAAGTATATCAAATTTTTTTAATAAATCATTGTTAGAAATAGCAATACCATAACTTAGCACTAGAAGAAAGATAAATTTGCATCTGTACCACTCTCCATGGCAAGTATTGCTATCTCCCTTTCACAGCTGTAAGCTGAATCACAGAACGGTGCTTGCTGAGTTGCAGAAATGGCAGAAATGGTAGAAATTGGGGAAGAATGCACATTTTTAATATAGTGTAAGGAACCTGGCCTTTTTTTCAGTAGAGTGGGATGCAACTGACTTTGATTGCAGTATTAACATACAAACAAGGTTGACATTATAAATCGTTTTCTTTTGTGCAGAGCACATGCAGAAAATATCGGATGTGGTGTCATATGTTCGTAGAGAAGTACAGAAAAAGAAAGGTATTTCCATGTTCAAATCAAGCTAATAGATTTTTGGGCAGCACCACTGATGTCTGGGAGTAATAATATGTGAGTACAGCTGGTTAGAAAAACTCATCTCACACTGGTTTCTGTAAGACACGCTGTTGGCAATCTTATGTGTGTTTACATGACAAAAGATTAATAGCTTTTGTGCTAATAGGCAGACAAATTAAAAACCTCAGGAGAAACAGCAGCACTGGAATAATCTCTGTTCTTTCTCATTTAAATTGGAATAACTGATGCTAGAATAGGTTCCCTACTGCTTTCTTTTAGCAACTTTTTTTTAGAACTGCAATCACTTGTAATTTATCGGAGTTAGGATTTTGGGTTTGTTTCAGACACTTTGTTTTGAGCTCCACAGTACAAAAAAAAATTAAATTTGGTATTTTTTGTTGGGTTTCTGCCTTCAGGTGGCAAACTAAATGATCTGCAAAAACCAGTATTTTCCATGGCATTCTGTAATGAGGGATTATACGCAGCTGGAAGGGTAAGGCATCCTTTGTGCTTTTAACTTACTCTTATTGTGTGAAGATCAAAGAACATTCGAATGGAGTATATTTGCAGAGTTCACCACAAAAACAGGAGTTAGAAAAACGTGGAGGACTGCAGGACTATAAAGGTCTGGTGTTGTCTATATTTTCTTTGTTAAGACTTGAGACAGGGGAATAGGATGTGAAAAGATTCCAGTTTTGTAGTCAAAAGAAGCAACAAAAGAGGACAATCCTGTTTTTAACAAAAGATTAAGAATATTGTAGAGGAACCAGATAGGAGGATGGACAAAATATAGAAAAGGAGAGAAAATGGCCAAGAGAACTGCCAAGTTCTTCTGTGCAAAATCTAACTCAATATCTAACCCAGTGTGACAACGTCATTGTATATTCCTGCTTAGGAGTGGGACAAATTCTTACACTGTCTCAAAAAGGACAATATGAGATCTTAAGTATTAGCTGATGAGAGAGTCTGTTGTTATCAAACATGGGCTGTTACTAAGAACTGTATTAAAGAACACCTTCGTTTTCAATAGATTTGTTATCCAGAGTAAGAGTCCTTCAGATTTATAGATACTAAAGACAAATGGCAGCGTTAGTGATGGGATTCAGTTAAGCACTGCTACTTTAGAGATTTTCAGAAATTCTTGCACTTCAGTTTGCCAGATGGTTTAAGTGACATAGACCTCATGTGGATTTGTACTTTTCTGCACAGGATGGCATTTTATTGTTTTATCACATCAAAGATCTGCAGTATGAGATGAAAGTCTGTGCTGATATCTCACAACCCATATCTAGCCTCATATTCTCTCCTGATTACTCCAGTCTTCTGCTTGCCACTGACCAGGTATAGCATTTGAGATAATAGCACTGCACAATGGGATGTTCCTGGGGTTCTCTATGTGTGTGCTGATACTGTTAGTATGAAATGTCTAATGTAATCACACAAGTCAACAAATTATATCAGAGGTGGACAAAGTCCATTCTGTGTTTTTACTGAAAATTGGGAAGACATTTAATGAAGCACAGAACAATTGCCTCCTACAGATGGTAGAATATAAGGTGCCTAATGTTGGGATTTCCCAACAGAAATAAATACTTGTGTGTACACAGTGGAGTATACATGTTCAGAATCTCCTGTGTGTCCAGGTCATAGGGGACCTACTGAGCATGAACTCTAGGGCTGATGTGCCTGCACAGGAAGAAAAGTGTAGCTGGGTTGTATCAGACCTCTGTGACTCTGCAGTAGTTGTTCTCCACATGTACATGAAGTTGTCTGGCAACCCAGTCCAAGATCCTTCTTTAACCAGCCTGATGTCCAGAAATCTTACACAAGGGTCCCAAATACTCCAATTCTACCTGTTTTCCCAGACTGTAAATAACTTAAATGGTCATTTTTAAAACTCTTTGACTGTTTCTGTAGTGTGTGTGTGAGTCAGGAGGTTTTGTGTACAGAACAGCAGTGCAATGGTAACTTTGCTCACACTCTCTCTGATTTCACTCTCCTTTTGTAAAATGAGTAGAGAAGTTCTAAAATCTCTGTCAATATTAGTTATAAATTGTTTCTAAGAGGCTTTAAGATATTTAGATAAAAACATCTTTTAAAGCTAAAGATTTATGATTTTTGTTTTGTGTTGGTTTTGAAGATTTATTAATTTCTGGAGTAACATGAAATTGGGTAGGTTTAAATTATTTTATTAAAGCAGTTTTGAGAAACAAACTTGAAAATGTGACTAGCTGGATCACTCTAAAATGAACTAATCTCATCTCCAGCTAGCATAAATTAATATAATTCACTAAATTCAGAAGAATCCTACTGGGCAATTTTTACCTCAGTTTAGAGTCAAATATGAAACTTGAAGAGTGAAGCTCAGAAAGATGGATATTTTTTGTTAAAGTGTGTGAAAGCTTTTAATGAAAAGTTTCATATCCCAGTGATGGACCCTTTCTCTTTATTTGTCAGGGACCAGTCTATAGTTACAAACCTGCCCATAGTGGAGAAGCTGTCAAACTTTTGGACACATGCAGCAGTTGTTTTCTGGCAGCTGATTTTCTTACTCCAGGGAACAAGTACTGTGTGGTAAGAAATTGTATTGCTTTTTGTATAGAATATTGGCTCTTTCCAGGTAACAAATATGGGGGAAGGCACAAAATTAAAAGCCTTGCAGAAACTGGGATGGTCCTGATATTTGTAACAGTTGTATAATTTCTCATTAAGGAATTAAATGGCATTAATTCAGGTATAACCTATAAAAGGGTCAGAATTTGCCCTGGAATGCAGGTTGGATAATTTATGAATTGCTAAAATGTTGTATTTTTTCAGCTGCTGATTTGTGTGATTTACTATTGTTTGGGAAGATAGCTGAGCAAAAGGTGGATTCAATTCAGAGAACTGATGCTGGAAAAAGAAATTTCTACTGATCTTTTCAGCCTTCTGCACAAATTGGACCATCCTGAGAGATACCTCTGTCCTGGGTCCAGGGACAAAGAAGGCCTTACTCATGAATCTGTCCATTCTGAGAAATTCTTTGCTTTCCTCCTATGTCTTTTACTCCTGCAAGACATATATTTTAGCCAGCAATTCATTTCCAGGCCATGAATTCTTCAAGTGGCCAGCCTAGGAGACCTGGGGTCTTAGTCAACTGAGTTGGCTGAATCTGTTACCTGACTCTGTATGAGTTATGTGAGGGTTGAGTGATCTCTAGCCTTACCTTACTGTGGAATTAAAAAAAAATCGTGTATATAAGAACTCAAGTACCATTATGGGCATCATTTTTCATGTGAGAAAACAAGACCTCTCCTCAAGCCCTTTCCTATGCAAAGAAAATTGTAAGCAGGTTGTTCTATTGCTGGCAGAAAGGTAGGAATGCTAATATTGATCCAGCTTACTTGTTTTGTCCTAAATTGTCTCATTCTGCTAAAGACCATTCCTGTAGTTGCAACAATTCACAAAAATTGCTAAATGTTTTCCTTAGGCAGGTGTAACTTGCAACACATGGACTTAGAGGAAAAACTAGATAATCTCAAGTGAAACTAGTAACCCTTGATCTGCTGTGCTCAGGGATCAGTTGAATTTATATTCTATGGAAGATCACTAATCACTTCTAGAGTATTTGGTTATTTCATCCTCTTTTGACTATGTTTTTCTCTGTTCAACAGTCTGTAACAGTTTCGGGTGAAGTACAAGTTTGGCTCCTGGAAGATGGAACTTGCCTTGGCAAGCTAAACCTTGATATGGAGGTACACATAACCAGGAGCTTATATAGTGACTGATACTTAATTTTTTTTAAAACATTTTTCAGTTGATAACATAATATACCTCAGATTTGGATCAATAAGTGGTGAAAGCTCAGTAATGTCTTTGAACAACCCATGAATGAGACTTAAAAAATATTATATTTCAGAATGTTTCATTGAACTAATAATGTGTTTAACTTGACCATATAGCAGAGGAAGCATTTCAACTGAATGTCCTAGTGATGTGTCTTTAATCACAAATTTGGAAATAACATCTAAATTTTTATGACATTACTTTATTATTTTTTATTTTTAATGAGTAATAGAAAAGTTTCAAGAGTATAAAAACTAAATGCCTTGACTGATATGAAAAACAGGTTTTAAGAATTGAGTTGATAAAAGCATTTCGAACTATTAATGCTTTGTCCTGATGTAAGGTACATTTAAACCCTGAAATCTGACATAGTAAGAAAAAAACTGCCCTTCTATAACAGCTATACACGTAACAGTGCACTCACTATTTTATTTAGGTGAAACTTCTTTCACTTAAAATCTGGATAGTGGATATAATGGTGGGGTTCTTCTTCCTGAAAAGAACAGAATTAACTTTTGATGTGTAGCTACGGAGCATAAGTAAAATTACTATGATGTGTCTAAAATACTGTCTTTGTTTAAAAAAAAATGGTTTTCAGATAAAACCACTTGGGGTTTCTTCTTCAAATTTTAGGGACTTTTAAATAGCAAAAGAAATTGCATACTAACACATAGCATAATATATAAAAATATATGGAACTGTTAAGTGTCTTTTACTTCTCAACTAGGCAACTGCTATGGCTTGCTGTCCCTCCTCCAACAGTGTTGCTGTAGGGACCAGAAGAGGTCAAATCTATTTCCTTGATGTTACCAAAGCTGAAGCTCCACGGATTGTTCACAGAATTTTTCTTTCCAACTTTCCAGTGCTATCTTTGCGGTAAGTATGGAGTTACAAGGGTGGGGATATTGTCGATTTATTGCTTGAGTAATGATATTAGTTGAAAATCGAAGTCTTTATTCTAAGAACAACAAATTAAAATATTGTGACAGCTTCTATTTTTTTCCAACATATTCTAAATTGCTTGCAAGAGGAGTAGCAGCAGGATTTATATGAGAGAATATAAGAAACCTGTATTTTAAGAAGGTTTAACTGAGCACTGAAGATACTGATGTGTAAGATACTTTTCTGAAAGATCACCATATGCAGTAATTATGGACAATCCCATGTATCTGACTTTAGAGGGTTATTTCTCACTGAATACAAATTTGAGGTTTTGTGAAGTTAAGTTTAAGCCTTTTGGTAATCTCTTCTTATACGGTGGATTTTTGTTACCATTGTTTTTTATTCACTGCCTAAAGTTATGGGCTTCAGTTGTGTTTATGCTCTCAATGAAGTTAACAAGTTATGGGAGTAAAATTATCTTACTCTTTATTGACTGTATGGAACTGATTTCTATTTGGGTTTGCATTTTACCTAGTTATGATCAGAGCGGCCAGTTCCTCATTGCAAGAACTACAGAAGGACATGTCTTTATTCTAGATGCTCGGCCATCAAAATTATTCCAGGTTCTGGGATATATAGGTAATATATGTAACAGCATTCATTTTCTTTTCACTATTACAGCAGCCAATGCCTCAAGTGTAGTTGTGTGCATGCAGCACTTCCTGAAACCAGGTTGAGGTGGTTGGGCTGAGGTGTATTGAGAACAGGGATCTCATTTTGCTTCACTTGATATCTTAGTAAAAATAATGTTACCATGTCTCAGTAACAATTTCCATTGGTGTTCCTTACCTGCTTTAGTGCTGGCAGATGAAGTGCTCGATCTTTCTGTAGTTTCTGACTTTAAGAATGACTTAGTTGAAGTGATGGTCCTTCTTAATGTAGCAGAGGTCCAACGAGCAAGACTGGAAAGTTTTTGTCTCTCTTCAGCAATCACAACAGGTAAGAATTGAAATAAAAACTGTGGCTTTTTTCTAAGGCAAAAAGCCTAGTGTCAGATTTTCTAGTTATTTAAGTTTGATTTTTAAAAGGCCTTCCAGCTTACAAACTTTCCAAAAAGTAGTTTTCAACAAAGTTAGTATTTTCTTTAAGTATTCACTAATGTTGGGCTTCTTCTTGTGCCTATTTTTAGACATAGAAAATGGGGCTGAATTTTCGAAGTTGCTGAAAATCTACAATGTTTGTATTAATTTCAGTCTTAATATCAGGTGTTTTATCAGTCTTAATTTCAAGTGTCCCTTTAAAGTTCAAATTAAGGAATCAAAAAGAATAAAATGCCCTTTTGAAGATGTGAATGTCAGTGTTTTAACCTATACCACCCAGGCTGTTTGTTCCTCATGGCAGAGATGCCTAAATGTGATGGTTCTAGATGAAGGCAACAATGACATGAACCTGCATGCAAACTAATTGCTACTGCTGATGTAGTACTCAAGATGCAGGGTGAATTAGTGTATAAAAATTGTCACATCACTGTGGATAAACTGTTTCTAGTACTTCTTTAGAGCCACTAGAGCTATTGCTGTGCTTCACTTCAGTGTGCTTCATCAGCACAACACACAGAGTTAGTGTTAAATCTATCTTAATTCCCAGTCTCTTCCCTGAAAACTCACATCATGCCTCACTTCTTGCTGAGAATCATTTTCATAGTTATGTGATAGGCAAAGCACTTGCATTAGTGGTAGTGATGCCTCTTCCTCCCTCTTTCTCTTTTCAATCCTTTAGATAATGATAAGTGTGTGAATGACCAAGGAATGTTTAATGCTAGTGCCCTTAAAAACAAGCAGTATGAGCTGGATTACCCTTTGAGCTCAGCAGTCAAATTGAAGGATAACATTGTGTATGGCTACTGTACCTGTGCACCTTTCATCTGTAAATACCATCTCTCTAAAGAGGTAATTCTCTAGAGTTGCTTTGTTTTGGGTGGTGGTTAAATACCAGCAAGCAAAGGGATGTAGATGAAGTGAATATAGCAGAATATTATCTGCTCAGGGCTCCTGCAGTTTAAGAGACAAGTCAAGTAAGAAGGTGAATTCCAAAGGTCAGCATTCCTCCCTGACATGTCCCATCCTTTCTGAGCTGAGAAACTCCAGGCCCAAACATACTGAATATAGACTCTTTTGAAGAGATGAGAAGCAAATCAGCAGCACAGCAATAGCACTGCTTCCTGAGCTCAGTAATCCAACAGCAGCTTAAATTGCAGTGCATGTGGTAACCCACAAAGCCCTTCTTGGTCTTCTCAAAATGGCAGAGAGATTTCCGTCATTTGAACTGCTACTAACATTTTGTTTGTTTGGCAGAATATGTTGGAAGATGCACCAGTATTTTCATCAGAAAAGAGGATTCCTAGCAATCAGTTTGGATCAGGTTTCCTCTGTGTATCACCCAACAGCCAGTGGCTGGCAGCAGCAGCAAAAGATGGTGTTTTATTTATTTACAACACTTCTACTATGGTAGGTGGGTGTCTGGGCACAGGTTTTGTTTGGTTTACAGAAACAAAGAGATGTAAAAATTACTTTCCTTCACTGTAAACTTTTCTTTACTTGAATATAAGGTGTTCCAGAAAAAAAAGTTATGTTGAACATGAACTGACATAGCATCATACAGGACAATTGTTTTTATAATGATTGTGTATATGTTCAAACAAACTACTTACTTTCTTCTTCAGCAAATCTTAAAGGAGATAATTTTGCTACTCTTCTTTATCTCCTGCAAAGTCAATATACAACAAACTAGCTGCATCTGTAATCAAACCTTTTAAACTTATAAATCCTAGTACTTTATGTACTTTGTATTGCCATTTTGGACTGACTTTTATTTAAAAATAAAAAAATATTAAGGTATTTTTTTAATTAAATATTAAAAGTAATTTACAGACATATGCCTCTATAAAGACTGATTTGCTGTTACTGCTTGTATGACTTTTCTAGGATATACTTGCTCAAAAGCATTGTCACTCATATCAAGGAGGGGGAATCAGATCCATGATATTTTCAATGGATGGCAATTTCATCCTCGTTAATGATGAAAACGATGGTGCTCTGGTGTGTCTGAAATGGAAGTACGTATAAAGAGGCAGACCAATGTTGACAGTGTCAATTCCTGTATCCTAACAGACAAATTTCTGCATCCATTTGTGTTCCAGACTTCCTTTTTCTTGTCTCCAAGTAAGGAGAAGAATTGGATAGAAATAAAATTACTCCTCTCATCTTTAGAGGTGGTCTGGTCTTCCTAGCTCAGGAAAAGCCTTTCACTTTGGGTATGGTTGCAGCACAAGATGTAGGAATTTCTTCTGCGAAGTTTCACCCACAGTGAAACTTATCACTGTCAAACCATCTGGAAGGGGCTCTCTGGGGATGAAAGGAATATAATCTCCTGAGATAATATTTTAACTCAGTGATAAGGAGATATCACAGCTTTAGTGGGAATTCAACTGTGGCTGTAGGGAGCTCTTAGCAGACACCAGGAGTAAGAGACGCTTGAAACCACATTTTTTCTGTGGTATAACAAATGTTCAGGTAGATGCATAGGTTAAAGATGACTCCATTGGATCAATATTTCTAATCTGGATAATCCATCTTTCAGAATTTTTACTTCTGTGGAGACTTCATTTAATTGTGCAATTCTAGAACTCGAACAATAATGAATCATATGTAACAATATTAAGTAGGCATTTTTAAACAACTTAGTAATTGTGTTATAAAGAATATTTAATATTTTGTCCTCCATAATATACAAAGAATACATCAGTTGCCTTTTTGTTCTCTAGGAAGATAAAGGAAACTGAAGTTGAGGAAGCTGCTTTTTACTGGCAATCTCTTCTTGATATACTGAACAAGTCTATTTCAGATGAAAATATTGTTTTAAAATCTATGGCAGAATGGCAGTTTGACCCAGGATCCACATCAAAATCGCTCGCAGAAGAGAAATTTCAGGTGTTTTCTTTATTTTTATGGGGAAAAAATGTTTGAAGATTATCATAAAATTGCACATAATAAAAATTGTCCTCAAAACAAACACTGATCCTTTTGTTAAAGTGGAATAATACCCCTGAGGATAGGCTGTATATGCATAATTAGCAATTTGTGGAAGAGAACTATCAAAGAAATGAAATAATTATGTGAAGATGACATTCACATCTTCAATGTCACTTGGTTTCCTCAACCACAGAAAACTGTGAGAGTCAGTTTCCCCTCATGTGAAGTTACTGTGGTTCCCAGTGTGATGTTACTGTGACACATCATGTTACAAGCTGTATATTTTTCTGTTGAAATAATTAAATTTTTAAAAAAAACTATTACAGAGATTAGTACAGTCAGCCTATTTGAGTCAAAAGGCTTTGCATAATGGCAAGGGTTTGCAGGATCAAATATGGAGACTGGTTAGGGAACAAAGATGTAACATTTTAATTTGGTGCTGATGTTTGTAATGTGAGTCCAGTTTTTATTTCATTTCTGTATCTCTCTTATTTTCACTAAGTACCTGAGCTAGATGCTTCTGTCCTTAATTTCAGGAGGCATCACTGAAATCTCCCGGTGTAGATGTGACAGAAGAAGATGGAAACGTCACAAATACCAATGACATGACATGGATAGGTCAGAAAATACAGAAGGTACTTTCACAGAACAAGTATTAATCAAAGCCAGATTTTTCAAGAGTCTTCAGCAATTTGGGGTGCTAAATTGTATGCTGTAAAAGAATCTTGTTTCTAAAGCTTTTATCAGATTTGGACCTTTCTTTAAGGCATTGGTATCTAGACTTTTAGAAATCCTAGGTCAAGGTTATAAACACATCAGAGAAGATGCCCAGCACAATAGGAGCTCTAAAGACCAAAAGACCACTTCTACAGATGGAGTAAACTTAAAAAAAAAAAAAAAAAAAGCCTGAGAAATTGGCTATTTTTAGAAACTTATAAAGACTTTTTTATTCTAAATGTCAAAAAGTAGCAGAGATTATTACCAGAAACCAAGCAGGTGCTCTTTTCTTCTCAAGGGCCAGAATAACAAATGCTACAGCACCAATAAATCAATACTCAACAGTAACACATTAACTGCAAACCCCCTGAGGTTTATTTCAGATTACAGTTGAGGTGAATATGTTATATAACCAAAGTTTTTATAAGTAAGAGTGCAGTGATGAGTCTACAGAGAGGGGATTTAGCACTTTGTGAGCTTAGAAAATATGATGTTAATGTTAGTATAGATTACATTTTTTTCCCAGAAACATGGATTTGTAGATTCTAGGATATTCTTTCTGATAGGAACCAGTTTGTCCAACTTTTGAGGTTCAATGATGGGACAAAGGCAAAATATCTTTGCTTCCTGGGTGATCTCAGGAGTGACTTTCCAAATTATGACACAAGCGGCACAAGTCAATCTAAGACATTACTGCCAGTGAAAGTGAAGTCTTCTCCATTGCTCTCTCAGACATGTTTTCCTGTTTCTACTTTGATGCTGGCACTCATTCTTTGGTGTCTACTCAGATTTTTGACAAATGTAGGTGACTGTGAATACACAAGTACCACATGACTGTTAGTATCAGCCAAGGGACAGGTGATGAGAGGCAAAGGGTGACGATGTATCCTAAGTTGTTTTAGACTGCTCATTTATGACCTAAGAGACTTGCATTTAACTTTCAGAGGGTGCAGTCCATCCAGTGTCAGAATGACACACAAATTCCAGAGGTGTAGACTAATTCCAAAATTTTCACTGAGAGATGAATTGTTAAGACTGTAGAGGGAAAGAAAATGTCACAGCTTCCAGAATGAGTAACAGATGTCAGTTTACTTGTGCCTTTAAATATTCCACTGAAAATGCTTAGGAAAATGAAAAATATAAGGATTCAAAAATCTGGCAATAGGCTTTATGCAGTTCAATGTGTCTGTAATCACTGCACTCATAATTATTTCTTGCTTTAATATTTTCTTTCTTTTATACTCTATTGCTGTACAGTTTACAATGTGTTGTACAATCTTTTTTTCTCTTGTGGCAGTCCTAAGAATCATCCTATTGACTTGGGATGATGTCTGTTTCAGTTATTAATACCTTTGGAGTTTTACTTTCTGTACAAATAATGTTCCTTTAGATTATTTCAATATTTTTTTCTCTTGTATCTTTTTGTCTTTCATCAACACATTTTTTATATGTCAGGTCGTTAGAGAAGAGACTCAGAGGTTTGCTAACCAGAAGGAGGAGCTGCAAACAGGAATTAAAAAGCTGCGTAAAACTGTGAGTTTCTTGCAAGGGTGATGGCTCAGCTTCCCAGTTTTGTTTACAAGGACACTTTCCTTTGTGGCTGCCAGCTCTAGTTTCTCAGTTACATTTTTGTCATAGACACTGAGCAGACAGGTAATAGAGAAATGTGCTTCTTCAGGGACTATCAGCTGAAACTGCCTGTCTGCTTCTCAGCTTCCTTTGCTCCAAACAAATATTTTGTGCCACCCTTATACCTTGAGCAATCTGTCCCCTCAGCAAGTTGATTTCTGCCTACCTAACAACCTCCCATGATAGAAAATGCTGTCCTCTCCTCTTTTTTCTGTTTCTTTCCTTAAAAACTCCAATCTGCGAGAGGATAAGGCAGAGGGTCACCTAGAGCAGTCTGCTGAGGACCATGTTCAGATAGATTTTGATTATCTCCAGGGATGGACATTCCATGACCTCTGGACAACCCATTCAAGTATTCAGTCACCTTTACAGTAAAAAAGTGTTTCCTGATGTTTGTGCAGAATCTCTCGTGTGTCCATTTGTGCCCATTTCCTCTGGTCCTGTCACAGGGCACCACTGAAAAGAGCCTGGCTCCACCCTCTTAGCACCTCCCCTTTGGTATTTATATACATTGATTAGATTCTCCCCAAGCTATCTCCTTTTTCAGGCTGAACAGTCCCAGTTTTCTCAGCCTTTTCTCATGTGAGACATACTCCAGTCCCATATCCCATTGGACTCTCTCCAGCATGTCCATGCCTCTCACCTCCCTCGTCCTGCTTAGCAACACTCAGGACAGCCCAGGATACCGTGAGACTTCTTTGCCACAAGGGCACATTGCTGGCTCGTGGTCACCTTGGTCCACCAGAGCCCCCAGCTACTTTTCTTCCAAGTTGTTTTCCAGTTGCCCAGCACCCAGCATGTTCTGGTGCATGGCACTGCTCCTACCCACGTGCAGGATTTTGCGTTACCCTTTGTTGAACTGCACAAGATAAATAATGATCTAATAAAGTGATAACACCTTAATGAAGTTCTTAAATCAAAGAATAAAGAAATGTGTACTACAGGTTCTTAGGAAGTATACACAACTTCACATACAACATTCAAAGCAACTTTCTTAAAGATTAAATACACTCACATAGTGCAGTCTGTCACTAGGTACAGGCAGCACATTCTACCAATTACCATGAAGCAGTCAAAAGGGAAAGTAATTAAAATAATTTTCTCTGATAACAAGTTCTGTAGTGTTAAAAATAGCATTTCTTCTATTCACATTCAAATTACTTTTTACTCCTTATGCATATTTTTTGAAAAACAGATTCAGAAAATGATGCATGAGAATGAGCAGGTGCCAGACATTGAGAAATTGGAGCACCAGGAGTTCAACCTGGATATGGAAGAACAGGAAAGACTGCAAGCAGAGGCTGAACAAGAAGTGGCCAGGGTATGATAGAATGGGGGAACATTTTAAAACTGTCAGTGGAAAGGAGAAAAATGATTGAAGAACAGAGGATTGTCTCAAAGTTGCTGTTCACTGCTGAGAAGCAGGAAAACCAAAAAGTATTTAAAGATCATTTTTTGAAGCAGGTGAAAGTGCTGATGCAGACATTGCAAACTGGAATATGATCTATGCCAGAAGCTATAAATCTGACACTGGGCACACTGGTTAAGTTCTAGAATGCTTTTGTTCATATATAAAATTATGCTTTTCAGTTTTGGGCAATATAGTTTTGGGAGAAGATAGCTGTGATTGTCTAGGATGATTAAATATTGGTAATTCATTTCATCTGTTGGGTTTTTTTCAATAACTCCACACAAATTGTCCATATCTTGTTATTTTGAACCACATCTTGTTATTTTCTATATCTTTAAAGGCAAGGCAGGAGATTGAGATGGAGAATTTAGCCAACTGCTATTTGCAGGATTTCATCAAATACGAGTGCTGGGACACTATGTGTGTAAAAGGATGTGCAGTTAAGGTAACCTGTGCTTTCTAAGTCATTTTCTGCAGTATTTATTCCTTAAGGTACAGAGACAAAGTAACATATTTCTGATTTGCTTATGGTATGGGAAAAACTTTACTTCTTCCTGGGGCTCATGCAAATCTTTCATTCTGCTCATTTTCTCTGAGCCTGCTGGATTTTGCCTTCCAAGCTAGAAAAGAGTGCTGATAAGCAAATAAGCAACTCTAATTTCTTGATCTCAGACAGTATGTTTACACAGTATTGCTAAAAGGAGAGGTAAATCCTATTTTTCTGTGTGCAGTCAGTGTGACTTTTGCTACACAGAACATAAAGGCAAAATTTAACCCTGATTTTTCCTATTTTAAACAGAGGGAGATGAGTCAATCTGATGATACTGGATTACCTCAAGAGTGGGGAAAACCAAGTCATTTTACAAAAAATCTAGTTTTGGTTTAATTCTGTGACTAAAGAGGCCATATCAATAGATAATTTGAAAAAAATAAATCTATTTTTACTTCCTTGTCTATATTAATTGATCCTCAATTTTATTCCTAATTTTAAGAGGTCTTAGTAACTGTTTAGCATTCAGGTATTGAACAAATAAACTAATAGAGGCATTCTGAAGAACTTTTTACTTTGGGTTTTCGATTTTTAAATTTGAACAGTGCTTCCATATGGATTGTGAAGTGAAGAATTATCCACTGCAGGAACGTAGTAAAGAAGAGCTGGAAACTTTGGAGAAAGTTCTCCGGTTAAAGGATACTGAGACAGCTGATCTTAAGGTACAAACCTCTTTGAAGTACTGCATAAAGCATTTCAGATCAGGATGTTCTGAGATGACATCTTAACAGTCCTTTATCTAGTTACATTCCTAAGGCCCATTTTCTTGCTGTAGAAAATATCAAGAAATTTTATAAAATAAATAAAGATGAAACATTGTGGGTTTACACAGAAAGAAATGTATTAGTCCTAAATAATCATAGAATAGCTGAGGTTAGAAAAGCCCTTTGGAAGTTATCTAGTCCAACACTCCCAGAGCAATTTACTCAGGGCCATGTCCAGTCCATGTTCCAGGTTTGGAATATCTCCAAGGATTAATGATTCCATAACCTCTATGGGCTACCTCTTCCTGTGTTTGACAGCTCTCCCAGTAAAAGGGTTCCCGTGCTGTTTGACAATCCTTTCAGGAAAAAGAATCCCTCAAGCCTTCTCCTTCTTGATCCCAAACAATTCCAGTTCTCTCAGCCTGTCCTTGCATGTTAGATATTTCAAATCCTTAATTGTATTAGTGGCCTCTCACTTGACTTGCTTCAGTATGCCCATGTGTTGTACTGGAGAACATACAAATGGACCCAATATTCCAAATATGATCATTTCAACTTGTATTATTTTTGTCTCTGAACTTAATGGAAGAATATATTAGCCCTTAGAATTTTTTCATACATTTGTACACGATCCAGTGGAACATGTAACACAGTGATCATGTTTGTGAAATGCAGGTTCAGAAGGAAGATCCTGAGGCTGAGGCTGAGACTGAGGAAGAAGGAGAGAAGGAAGCAAAAGCTGTGGCTGATGATGGTGAATCTTTCTGCCTGATTGGAAGTCTGAGCTCTCAGTATGGTGGAGACACATCTATCCTCTATCACCAATGTGACTTGCACACCAAGGAGCAGAGAGTCAATCAGATAGTATTATTGAAGGTGACATCTTCTGAAATTTCTCTTACTGCAGTGACACTGGCAAATCTGTTTGTTTTCACAGCAGTCACAGCCACTGTTAGATTTTGGGCATGGTTAGATTTGTTCACTAGACAACACTGAGTTGCACAGGTCACTGAGTAATTGAGACAAAAGCTGACAAATGCACATAGTGCAGTAGAGCACCATGTGGATTTGCCACCTCAGGGTTGGAAGAACAACATTTTTATGAAATTGTTTACCCAATTTGAGGGTATCTGTGTTTGCCCACTGGTGTTTCAGTTTGACTTTTCATAGCCAAGATAGCTTGCACATCTCAGCATGCCCTGTGACAACATGACCTCTTTCCCCATTACCTCTTTCCCTGTTATTTGTTGCTGAATGAAAGATCAGCTGGATCCTCACACCATTTCCTTACCCTACAGTCTTACCAGCCTTTTATTTGGAGTCCTTAATATTTCTGTTATTTATTATTCATTAGTATCAGACTGTATTACTTTTCTTACCCTGGCCAGTTTATTAAGTCATAAACATGCTACAGAATAGGCTTCTTAGGAAGATGACTTACAAGTGGTTAAATTAGTGTAAGGCATTGCCTTCTCAGAGCTCTCTATGGCTGTAAATGGTATCAGAGCACAATGGTTAACCATTGTTATACATAAAATCTAATGTGCACTAGTGTTTAAAGTAGATGGTAAAGAAACACAAGGAACACTTGTCACTGTAAGCTTGGATATAATAAGATCTTTTAACTCTATGGCTTTAAAGACTCATATTATATAATAAAGTGTAGATATATCTTCAGTGCTCTTGGCCAATGCACTGAGCTTCCTGAGGGCTGGATGGTTGTCAAGACATTAAGCACAGCCTTTTTCCTCCCAGCAACGTGGTACCTTATCTGCCATCCTGCCTGACTACATCCTAACTTATTATTATACTACAAATCAGTGAAATAATCATCAGACACAAGTATTTATTGTAATACAAATTGCAAACAGATAAGCATCTTAAAATATGAAATTTAATGATAGAACTGAAATCCTTTTCATGGTGCATTTTAGTAAATTGACACAGTAAGAGGGGCACATGGTTTTCTCTCCTAATGTTCTGATTTTCTTTGTTGAGATCAATTATTTATACTAAAAGAAGAATTTATCCACTACGAATATGTACTTTTTAAAATCATTATAGGGTCTCAGGTGTTTTTAAAAAACGGTTTTCAATGTTTGTTTGTTTAATGGGCACATTTTACTTACATATGTCAGAGAAATTACATGAAAGCATATTGAAACTGCAGGTTGCATCAGGAAAGTATGTCCTTTGCTCTGAATCCCTGCACCTGGGATTTACAATTTCTGGATTTACAGGTCACAGGTTTTTTTCCTTGAACCACCTTCTTCTTCCAGCTGAAGAGGGCAAAAATAGCAAATAGAGGGCAGCCTATTTTTTTATCTAGCTTTGGCAGCAGTATGTTTCTTTCAGAATCCTTGTGAAATGGCAAATTTGTAGAAGAAAATGAATACAAATTTCTAGGAAAAAAATAATATAATTTGCCCAACTCCATTTGACGAAGCCTGAGCTCTGCCCTTGTGATTTTCACAAAAAGGCTTTACCAGTTTATCTCCCTGTCACACATACAAATATTTATGGTTCTGTTGGCTTGTGAAATAGTATATAAACATGGATGGATGTGACCTGTGCCGTACTGCTGCTTCCTTTTTTGGTGTTTCAGGACATCATTTACAAAGTGAAAACTGCTTTTAATAAGGAATTTGACATAGTTGCACAACAAAAGGAGCAGGAGATAGCACGAGTGAAAGAAAGAAACCTGCGGATCCGAGAAATCTTGGAACAACTGGGCCTCCAAGTGGAAGTGTGGGAGCCAACTCTTACAGATGATGAGATGCCAGAGCGAGCACTCACTGTTCAAGATTCAGAGGTGTCTGAAAAACGCATCTTTCTACTTCACCCACTCAGTTACAGTTCTCTACTTCCTCTCATTTCCAGACATTGTGTCAGTACTGAAAAACCCTTAAAACAGATGTGTCTATGTATTTAAGGTCATCTTTTTGGCTCATTTCCTTCCCTTTTCTTTCTGGGGAGAAAACTCTTAGTAAGTCAATCTGAAATGAATGAAATATATACAAACTTAATTTATTGCTGTTAAAAGTTTATAAAAGCCCATAAATTAGGTACAAATTGCCCCTGTTCCTAAGATTCAGTTCAGGCTTTCAGGAATTGCTTCCATAGATAAAGGTTTCTGTGTTTTCTCTGAGCAGCATTTTGAAACTAAGTATCTAAGTACTAAAGCATACTTTATGCTCTACTTATACATCCAATGATAATTTATAAAGAAATACCATATCTCTAATACAATATATCCCACTGATCTTATCTGCTCTTTTGGTCAGTGTTTTCCAACTTCTCTCTGCTCTCTCACCAGTCCATGTTATTCCACTGTCAGAAAAGACATGCATAAAACCCAATATCAACAAAAAGGATGCTATAGTTTGTATTTTTGGGATATTTAAATATAGGTTTTGGATCTGTTCAAAAGGAGAATTTTCATCTTGAGGAATGTTATCATAGACCAGACATACAAAAAGCATCAAGAATTAGTATTGCACCATTTTCGTGGTTTAACTCCAGCCAGCAACTAAGCACCACACAGCTCCTTTCTCACTTCCCGACCCACCAGGGCGGGGGAGAGAACTGAAAAGGTAAAAGTGAGAAAACGCATCGGTTGAGATTAGAATAGTTTATTAATTTAAAGAAAATATAATAAATAATAATAATCAAAATTGTAATAATAAATGTAGTTAAATCGTCATAATAAATGTAATTAAAAGGAAAATAACAAAAAGAGAAAGACAGGAAACCCAGGAAAAACACCTGATGCAGATGAAAAACACCTGATGCAGATGAAAAACAATTGCTCACCACCAACACACTGATGCCAGGGATGTACTTTACCAGCTGCTTGAAAATAAATTAACTCTATCCCAGCCAAAAGCAGGACCACCACATTTCCAAAGGCTCTTAGTCCACATGTGATCAAATTTGAAGAAAAGAACCCTTATACAAACCTCATCTTCTTCCTTCAGATTAAAGCTGAGAAATTCTTGACTCAAGAGGAGAAAGAGAAAGCAGAAATGCTGGCTAAGCTGGAAATGGAAAAACGCCTTGCAGCTACGGTAATTCAAGTAGTGTCCTTTTACTGAATAGGCCCTTGTCTCTGGTTAGGCTTATTTAATTAATGCCACACTGGAATATTCCAGTAACATAGTATGAGGAAATAAATTTGAAATGGCAGGTAATGATGATGTGTGCCTTTTCCCTGTTGTTATTATTTACACTCAGAACTACATAGATCAGCTGGGGGAAGAAAAGACCGAGTGTTAGGCTCACAGATTTTAAGAAGGGGCTTAGTGGCAATTTAAAATACCATATCAGTTGTCTGGGGATTAGATACATTTCCAAATTCATGGTACTTGTACTCAAGTACAAGTCAAGAGCTTGTACTTGATATGTGTTTGTTGACTGAGCAGCTGATCTCAGAGGTCTTTTCCAGCCTGGTTGATTCTGTGACTCTGTGATCTACTAGTGGCACACTGAATAATCATAGGGGGGATCTAGAGCTGAACACTACGATTGTCCCCACAGCTTGCCATCACTACACTTCTTTTTGTACCTGCAACTGTTTCTTTGTGGTCGTTGCCAGGACGATGACAGACTGCGTGCTCTTGATGACATGATGGGTGGAGTGCTGGAAGTCAGAAAGGAAGACATCCTGAAAATGGTGAGCTGTGTTTCGGTCATGTCGTTTGGTAGCTTGTGGGTTCTTATGGTAATGTGAAATTCAACTAGCAAATATTTCCAGCCTAAGTGACAGAAGAGAGCTGAAGAATTGTAGAATTGCATTATGACTAGATAGCCTCCATAAGAGACTGTACATTGGATTCAAAGGAGACCACAAGTTTCTACTGCCTGTGTATGATTTACCCATCAACACCTGTCCCTATCACAGTGGAATACTGTAGGAACATAATCTACAAATAGCATTACAACAGCTACATTCCTGGGGGAAGGGTTTATTATACATATCTTTGGTCTTACAGAAAAACACTGTGTTCCATTTAACTCAGCAAATATAGATAGTACAGTACTAGAGGAAGAAAAGGATGGGAAGAATTGTGGCAGAAAAAGGCTAGGACAGACCCAAGCACTCCCCCTGGAACTGCTCTGTTTTACAAAATTAGGACTCCACTTAGAAGTCAGCATGGAGTTACATTTGGGGTTCTGAAAGAGAAAATGAGGTATATGTTGTATGGACAGTAGTATATTTGAGTACAAAATACTTGCACTTTACAAAATTCAGTAGTGAATACCTGTAAGCAAGTAAGTGAGAACAGCACAATATATATACAGCAAAACTACTGGTGCAAGTAACAGACCAGAGCAACAGAATATATATGTTACTTTGACTTAAGGCTTGTACCTTACTAAGAAATACCTTTCTTTTAATTTGATGCATTCTTTAGTTCGTTAGTGTGCTGACACTTAATACAGTTAATACACTTAATATTGCTTCTAAACTATATTTTTCTTTAATACTTCCAGGAAATTCCTCCACCTCCTTTTATATCCAAGCCTGAAGATCTTTGGAATGATGAAGAAAAGAGACTATTTGGAGAATATGAGAGAAAAGTCAAGGAACTGAATGAAGAGAAAGAAGAGTACAAACAAGTAAATTAAAATGAGGGAAGGAGTGGTTTTGTTCACAGTGCTCACGAGCAAAGCTTCTGATCTTTCTCAGGAGCAAGTTCTAAAAATGAATACTAATATATAGAATAAATGAAGAACAAATGAAGATCAAAAATCGTGCGGCATATCAAATAAATCCTACCTTAGACAGCAGAATAAGTCAATCTCCACTTACACCAATTAATATATGCCAAAATTTGGGATATCTGAAAAAGGCAACTTTCCTTCACAAATGGAATATTTGTATTCCTAAAATGTGTTTTTCAAGTTCCATTCCCAGAGCTGCTGATGCCATACACAAATAATATAATTATATTTATTCTTCAAAGTGGTATTTGAACTACGTAACTTGGTAGCCTGGCACTCTCTTTCCAAACAAATAATTTCTGGAGCCTTTTGGCTGAAGTATACAGTTCCATATTGTGCATTCTCCAGCATCTCATATATATATATATGTAGATATAAATATAGATATATCAGAGATTTTTTTTGTTCCTACAGATGTAATACTGCTGTTCTTTTCCTTCCCTTCCCCAGACACTGAAAAATGAATGGAAGAAACTTGAAGCTTCCATCCAGGAAACAACACAAAATTTTGATGAGATGGTCTGCAAACTCTCTGAAAGGAAAGTGAAATCAGAGATGGTCATCTACCAGGTATTGCAAAAAATATTAATTTTTCATCTCTGCCTCTGTGCGGCAGGAATGTTAAACATTTTTATTACAATAATTTCACAGGAAGAACTCAAAATAGTCAATCTCACTTGTGATTTACTGTTGGATGAAGAGCTGGACACCAGAGAAGCTGGACTTCATAATTGCCTTACAAAAAGGAAGAAAGAGAAAGTAAGTTATCATTTAGAATGCTGTTCTTAGGAGAAGTCTAATATTGACAGTACAGTTGCTTGTGATGTTTTCAAATCAAAATCTTGCCATAGAGGACTTTCTGACAATTTACAGGGGCACTGATTTTTTTACAGCTTGTGCAGGTGACATCCATTATAAGTAGATCTGGTTTTTTTCAATAAATACTCAGCTTGGTTCATCTGGAGTTCTTTGTTAAAACCCCGTGCATTCAGAAGGACATGCTGCTATTTGCTTGCTACATAGAATATTTTTTAGTGTCCAGTATCAAGCTGGAAGTACCAATTATGATGTATTTATGATAGGAAGATGCACAAAACAATGTGTAATGCCATCACATTTTTCACTGAGGTGTCCAGTGCCTGCCAAGGCCACGCTGAGTTGTGTTTGCCAGTGTGTCTGCATAGACAGATGTGGTGTGTGAGTATCTGACCATGGAAGCAGAATATGCCATGGAGTACAAAGTGTTCACAGTTTTATCAAACAGTTTAATCTCCTAAAGAGTTTACCCATCCCAAATCACATAGAAGTCAACAAAAGACTGGAGAACACAAGTAGTAGGTCTGGGTTTCAATACAAGTGCTTACTGTGGTAGTCTGCACATTGGTTCTGGCTCTTGGAACAATATTATCCCATTTGCCTACTTGGACTTCATGGAGCTGTTCATGAGTCCACAGATAATACACCAATGCCTCCCCATGTCAGATCTCCTACTCAACCTGCCCAGAGCACTGTGCATGGAGCTGCAGGCAGATAGGCAGGGATTCTAAAGCAGGCATTTATCCCCTACCACTGAATAGGCTGACCTAGTTTTAAAATTATCCGAGCCAAGTCTATACCAGCTTACATTTTTCAAAACACAGCCTTTTTTAAATTTCCTAAATGGTTACATTGATATATTTTTTGGTCCCTGCAAACTGTCAAATACAAAAAAATAGCCTCCCTAGCAAAGTATTAGCATTTAACAGCCTCAGTAAAACAGATAACCTTAGTCCTGACACAGAGCAGAACTGTGCTATGACAATGGGGAAATAGCATTCTAAAATGAAGAACTCTCCACTGAACAACAGTGGAGACTTTTTGACTGGTCTTACCTGGGATGACATGAAGAGAAACAGAAATCTCTATGGCAAGTGAAAAAAAAGTATCAACATATGTCTTTACATTCAGTGTTTGAAAAGACTTGTAAGCATTTCTAAGACAAATTTCTTACATTCTTAAGCAGCGGGATAGTTTGATTTCACACCTGATCATCTTTTAGCAGTGTCTATAAGTGACCCCTGAAGAAGGTACTATATTGTTAGTAAAAATAGCTCACAAGATTTTCTCTAGAAATAAGGAAGTGTCAGCTTCATTGCTGTGTAGGAATAGCCATTCAGTGCTTCTGCTGGCTGAGTTTCATTCCTGAAATCTTTTGGTTTTGCTATAGGTCAAGAAGGCAAAAACAATCCTGACTGCAAAAAATAAAGTGGATGCTTACACAGCCACCTATAAAGATGCAGTAGATGAAGAGAAGGTGAGACTCTCGAGAAACACAAGGAGGTACAGAAGTTAAAAGTTAATGTTGTGTCTCAATAATGAGAAGAACATTCTTCTCTGTAAGCAAGAGTTCTGGTCAGATTGCTGATTATTAAAGTTAATAATGCTGAAATAAAGCAGTAGAGGACAGTGTGTGCACAGAAGAATACATGGGATAGTCCAGATTCCCATGATGCTTGGGAGTGCTGGGAAGAGCACCATATTCTGTATTTCTAAGATATGGGCAGGTTGAGGCATTTTTTAAGAAATAATATTGTGGTAACCAGAAAGTTTTCTTCCCCCTCTCTCTGCCCTCCAGAATCTGGAACGTCGTTTTCCAAAGCAGTTTGCTGATATACCTGACGATCTCTTTGATGAACTTTTCCAACTTTACACGCGTCGACCGAAGTAAGATCCCCTCTGATTCCATTGTTTAAACACTAATATTTCTTGTGAGCTAAGAATGAGAATGCTATTTATTTCAACAGTCTAAATTATTTTTCCTGCTTTTTATTGGATAATTAACAATGGATGATTTCCCATCACACTAACAATTGCTATTTTGAGTATTTACATTATTCACTCCACAAAATCTATTTTAAATACAATCTAAGTAATCATCAGGTCTCAAGACCATATATTCTTATTTTGTGTAAGATATAGTGTTACCTATTTGGTTTTTGCAAGAGATTGAGAGTGTGAAACATTCTTTGTTGTATGTGACCTTCATTTATTCAAGAGAAAATAAAAAGTAAATCCTGTTTGTGCTGTGTGTGTGCACTAGAAACCCAAGGACAGAAACACTCCTTGACACAGCTAATCCATATGGGAACTGTTCAGACTCTGAGGATTACGAGGATGTACTTACCCTTTTAATGAAGGCCATGGATGAACTGGATAGTCCTGAGCACATGCCTGAAGGCTTAGACCACTCTACATGGAAAAACTTTTGTCTAGCTAGACGAAATAAAATGGAGAGTGAGGAGCTGGTATGTAAAATTCTTAATTTTGCCAGTATACTTCTTGATATTTTTGATTATTAAGCCTCAGTGGAGTTGTTGTGTAGGGTCAAGCTAGTGATGAAATAGCGATGCAGAATATCTAAATTCCATTTGACTTTGAAAGTTTCTTCTGGCCACATTCAATTAAGAATAACAGGGAAACCTGTTCTCTAGTTCTAGCTGTAGTTGTTCTTCAGAGGAAAAATTAGCATATTAATATGGACAGATTTAATCAGAATAATTGTGACCCCGATTTTGTTTCATTACAAATAAAAAGATAATTTTCCTTTTCTCTATCCTTACCAAAAAAATGACAAGGTATTTGATTCCCATCATCTGTTGGAGTCATTCTCTCCCATTAGCATTCTACATTTAGACCAATGCATTCTCATGTTTTTCTGAAATATAAAGAGCAATTCTTAACAAAGGGTGTTTCTGGAAATTTCTAGCAATCTGTTTCTTCAGTATAAAAGCATGAAGGTGTAAATCTGAATTATCCAGAGAAAGAAATATGTGAAATGAGACCAAAAGAGAAGGAAATATGATTTCTCTTCATGGGAATAAACTATTCATGTTCTGAGCAGAGTGTAAGGATTGTAGCCTCTATGTCTCATTCTGGGATTCTCAAAATACCAGCCTGCATATTTATATATACATATATTTTCTGAAGAACTTCTTCTCTGTTCTTGAAGAGGCTTGTCCTGACATACTGACAAAGCTGAAAAAGTTCAGAGTGTCATGATGTTGCTTGCTTAGGTGAAATGGAAGGCCCTTAAACTGGCAGAGATGCAGGCCTTTTTCCAGAGAAGAACAGATGAAAATGAGAAGATGAAGTCACAAATAGAGAACATTTTCAAGGAACTCACTTGGTAATTTTGTACCTTTTCTTATGTTCAGCTACACTTTAATGCTCCAGTAACACAGAACCAAAAGTTACAAAAAAAATTACACATCTGTGTTCTTAACACTCTTTTATCTAGGTTTCATTGCCGCTTGGACCTGCAATATTCCATTTTTCATGTACATAACATAAATTTCACATTCATTATCATTCAAGAACAAACTCCAGAATGAATTATACAAGAAAAGCAGTTCTGGCTGGAAGTCTTTTCTGTTTTCTTTTCAATTGGTGTTAAGATTTATTTTCAGTAGCAACACTTTCTCTCAGAACATCTGCTGGAGTATGGTAAATTGAATCCAGTGGTTGCAAACTTGGTGTGTGTATATATACACCAGAATTTGCATATTTTGTAGTTACTTTGGGAGCAATCAGAAGACAGGCTGTCAAGGACTAACCCCTATGTGAACATACCACTTACCAGTAATTAATATAAACATTTATATAATCCTGTTGAAATCACTAAATGATGTTTTTGTTTTGTGCCATTTTAGGCTGCAGGAGAAGAAGATGAAACTTCAGCAGAATTTGATTGTCCAGTTTGTGCTAAAACAAGGACAGGTGGAATTGGAAAGTGCTGAGATCCCAGACTACTCTGATGCTATTCTCATTAAAAAGAGTGTTGTTGAAGAACTGAATACCTCTATCTCGGTAATTATCTGAAGGAAATTAAAGCTTTTTAAACCAATGCATTGTCCTTCAGGGGCTCTGCTTTTTCTCCAGTTTGATGTCTACTTTCAGTTCATTACAACACACCAGCAGGCTCAATTGTAATCTAGAAGCTATTAAGGATTCTCTAATGTCTCTTATCATGATGAAAAGACTGCAATGCGAACCTGCTTTCTTGATGTTTGATCGATACACTTCAAATCAATGAAATGGCAACAGTTTCTGGACACACATATGTTGTAAATAGATACACATATATTACACATATATTGTAAATAGAAACTGCTAATATCCTGGGTACCAGTCCAAAAATTCCTTCAAGGCACACATATAGTCATGTTAAGAAGCATTAGAACAGTAAATTACATTAAGATTTAAAAAATGAATACAGTTTTTTTTATGTAAGGTGAAAGTGGTGATGATATTTAAAAGTCTTTCACACCCTTTTTTAGACATTCTTTTTTTAGACATTCTAGTTGGACAAAAATTGCCTTTTACTGCTCCTGCACAAAGCCTTCAGTAACAACAGCAAAAAAACCTATATTTTGTTGACCTAAAATGCCTTCCTATTCTTATATAAGATAGAAAGATGGAGAGAGAGGTTAGTTGTGATTTTCTTAATCTACTTCTGTGATCCAAGGCTATGACACAGAGCATAAAAGGGAACAGATTTCCATGAAAGATAACCATCTGGAGCAAAGTCTGGAAAGAGACTGCAGTAAAGCATGTTTAACTGACTAAAATTATAACTCTGGAAGCTTGCCCATCTTGTTGCAAGCAATTATTCCATAATCTGTAAAATGTGTAAATTGAGATTGATCTACTTTTTCAGACTCAAGGAGAAAAAAAAATTGCTGCTATAATAGAATTCAAAGAGTTCTCTAGAGGGATACGTCGGCTGGAATGGGAGCACAAGAAAATGAGAATGCAAATAGAAGATCTGAAAGAGAAGGCTCGGGACATTGTAATACTACCTATTTCAAAAGATTGCCAGCTAGTGAGTTGCTTTCTCTAATTTATATTTTTCTGAAAATTATGCTGCCTCTACTGGTAAGAAAGATCATTTATATTTCATAAGTCTTTTTCTACAACAGAGAAATGTGATGCCTAATAGGTCAACAATTCAGCTTTCAAAGGGAAGCTTTACTCATGCATTTGGTTAGTGATGAAATTCTTTGGGATGTTCAGGTGTAAATTAAGGCAAAATTAGCCTTAACTCTTAGTGTTTCAAAATGGGCCAGAGTAAGGATTTAGGAGCAGCATCCTTTTTAAATGAAAGGTCTGAGGTGCCCCCATCTGGTATCGCACAGAAATACCGTCACTTTTGCTCAGTAAACAGAGATTGAGCCTTCCCACAGGAGCCTCACTGAGTCCCACCCACTCACTGCCATTCGCTGGCCCAGCAGCAGAACGACAGGGAATTGTTTGCCATCCCTGGCAGGCAAGAGGGGGCAGCCGGCCAGCAAGGCAGCACCCGCACAGCTTTGAGCAAGCCCAGCTGGCAGGCCAGGAAACATGGGTAAAGTTTGTGGGAGAGAGCCAAGGATACCACTGGGAGAAGAAGGGAGGAAGAAGAAAGTTTGTAGGGAAAGCCTGAAGGTATTGCAGTCTGGGGCATAGAGGACTGCAGGGAAATCTGAGGGTCTTGAGGCGATGAGGTGGAGGGCATAAAGGTTTGAAGTGAGGGATACTGGAGCATGGGAAGGCTGGAGATACTGCAGTGGGGAGAGCTATAAAACACAGAGAAAAAGAATTGTTGGGCAGCGGGTAAGGATATTGTAATTCAATCAAAAGATTAAAGGAAAGTCCAAACCACTTGTTTTGCTCAGTCTTCATTTGTTTTGCTGCTCTCCACAATGCTGGTTCTGAATCACAACCAAGGGACTTCCACAAGTAGCACAGCAGAACAGTTTTCCAGAGAGGTGATGTGACAACCCACTGAAAAGTTCTTGTGGCACATTTATCTCCAGTGTTGCTGTTAGCCCATTTAAACTGATGAGCAGAACTATTGCCCTTCAGAGAAAATTAAACTGTCCATAGCAAAGGCATTTACCAGTTTAATCAGAATTTGAATGCTCTGAGAGGCTTGACTTTACTTCACTTTTGAGTAGAAATATGGGATTAGTGGGAAAGACAAGGCTACAGAGACCCCAACAGTAGGAACAGAAAGAAAGATGGCTAAGATAAATGTGTGTGGAGCAAGGACCTGAGAACATCTGGAGTGAGGGCTGTTAATGAAGGACTGAGTGAAAGAAGTTTGTGCTGTAGGCAAAGGAGCCTGCTGGGTCTTTCCTGTTTCCCCTCCCCTGACTAGAATAGTCCACAAAATTCTACCTGTCACTCTGGGGGGACAGTACCTGGAAAGGACGAATCTACAAGTACAGAAACCTGTCTACTGCCCATTATAGGTCCATAAAACATTATGGGGTTTATTTTACCATTTGTCATTTGATAAAGAGGTATTTTAGCAACAGTGTGCTCAAGGAAAAAAACCACAATAAATTCTCTGAAATATCAGTTACTATGCAGATAGAACAATAAAAGAAGTAAGAAGCAGAGAGACAGAAAATAATCCTTTTCCTCTCTACCCTAAAGACATAGGGTAGCCTCCATGCTGTGTAAGCTTAGATTGCATATAAGCAAATGTATAGCTTGAGGTTTTTGACAACCTCAACAAATTTGTTTGGTCTTTGTTTCCATTAACACATGACAGATAACATTCTTTTCAACAGCTGCACAGTCTAGTATTCATAGAGTGTCCAATATCTTTACGACATCCATTTATGATCACTAGTAAGCCTTTCCACTGCAGAATTGTAGGGTTTTGCCTTTCACGTAGTATGATTGCCTTTATAGAAGTGTGGAATTGTTGAGAATGAACTGGCATGATAAGATGGTTTCTTTCTGGTTTTACTTCTTCAGTTCCTCACTGTGCTGAACTACGACAGCCACATCGCCCAGCACATTGCAGGGATGGAGGAGACTCTTCGCTTCATGGATAAGGTAAATCCTAAGGAAACCATCACATTTGAGAGACACATTCTTAGTTTAAATGCAACTCCTTGCCTTCATTAACAAGAGGTGTTTGTAAGGAATAAGGAATAAGTGCAATTGATATAGGTGTGCTAACTCAAGGACTATTGGAGTACAGCCACAACAAATGGAGTACAGCACACACAAATGAATATATATATAGTCATGTATTTGTCCATCTGGCTTTCAGTAGTTTCTTCATTCAACCTGAGCTGTGCTGGCTACAGCAGCAGTTATCTGAAGTCTTTGGAAGCAGTCATCATACATGAATAGCTGCAGAGATCAACCCTATGGAGAGAAGTCTACTTGCTCTGTTACTGCAGTTAAATGCTTTCCTATCCTGAACATCTGAATGCAGATCTGCTAATCACTTCTTACACAGCACTGCTTATAAAAGCCACTCTTCCATTTCTAATGAAGCATTCTTTTGGTCCTCACTGCTAAATGTTTCTCTCCAGGAGCACCAGCCTATTATAATATCCCTACCCCCCTGCATTCAAAATAACAGACACAACAATCTGATTTGCTGGCTCCCTCATCTATTTCATCCCTCAAATTATGATTATCCTTGTTTTTAAGAGTTTCCACTGAATTTTCTCCAAGTTGCACTAGCTGGCATCAGGCTCCTTTTCCTCTTCAAGCTTTAGTATTTATCTTGTCCCTTTACAGCCCATCCATCAGCTTCAGCACAACAACCCTTTCTTCAGCAGCTCCCAGCAGCCAAGAGCATGTCCTTAACTCACTGATTCCATTGACTTCCTTTCCTCCCTTTTCCTTTCAAGTTTTATCTTTAATATCTCTCTCTCCCTGACCCATACCTCTTGGTTCCTTGGCTGGTCCTTATATTAGAACTCCATAAACACATGAGATACAGCATATGAAAGACACTATATGAAGTCAAGCTTAGAATGTGCTATCGGTCAAATCAAAATACATGTAAGTTGATTGAGCTACAATGCAGTGCTTAAAATTGTAAGTTTCCATCATGTTTGTCTGAACAGCTTTTTCATCACCTCATATATTTGCTTTATTGATTTCAAAATGGACAGTTGCACAAGAAGAATGTGAAGAACCATCAGAAAAAAATTAGAGAGCTGAAGAAGTGCATCCGTTTAAAAGAGGAAGCCAACTACGAGCTGAGCCTGCAGCTGAAGGAGATGCTTGTCTCTGTTTCAGAAAGGAGGCATATCTTTGAGGCAGCTGGTGAGTCCAGTAAAGCACTTAAAGTCACAAGCAAAGAACAACATTCAGAAAATAGCTCCAAGGCCATGCAGGCCTGTTCCCCACCATCAGCTAAAGGACAAGGAGTGCCTGTGTATTCCTCTATGTGCACAATTAGCAGCATCCTTCCTACCAAAACCTAACACTGCTCACTGAAGAGTGTACCTGCAGATTGTGCCTCTTGTAACCAAAGCTAGTTGACTAAATTCCTGAAACTACTCAAGTAAAAATATTATAGTCATTAGTAACTTTGTTATGCAGTGTGCTTTCATTCTTTCAGAGCTGTTCAACACACTTCCTTCCACCTTTCCAAGGGAACAGAGGAGGTAGTGTGGAGCTGAGAATGGTATTCACTATTAGAAGAACTGTAGAGATCTTTCCACTAGAGGAAAACAGTTACAGGTTTTCAAAACAGTGGGTACTTGGGAGAAACTAAAGCAAGCATGCTCAGTGCCTTTTTGAAGTATTTTCCTTTATTCAGTACTATAAAGGCTTTTAAGCCCAACTGTGAGCCTTCTTTAAAATGCTTGCCTATTTTATACAGAATTTGGAATAACCCCAGGACAGGTCCAATATAAATAAAGACTACACATCCCCTATGAGCACAGGCTAACCCTTATATTTTGTTTTATGCAGACACACGGGATATTTCTGAAGAGATTACAAGGCAGCGTTACCAAGAGATTTTGAAGCAGAAAAACCTACGGGATCTTATAAAGGAACAGAAAGAAGAGTTTGAAAGTCTTCAGTCAGAACTTGAAATACTGAGAACAAGAAGACCCCCTCATATATAAAAATCAGTCCACATAGATCTATAATACCACTGTCTTATCTAAGTAAAAGAGCTTTGACAGTTAATTTTTCTCCCTGAACTTTTCTTTCCACAAAAGATTTCTTCTGTAATTTCCTTAAAAATAACTGCATTTTGAAAGAGGCATGTTTGTCTAGTTTGAGTATTTTACACCTGGTCTTATCCCCATTATACTTCAGTTGATGAGATTTATTCCTGCTGGTTTCATTACATGAACTATATAGCTCATTACAGAAAACAAAAGGTACAAGAAATTGTAGACTGAGAAGAACAGGTGTATTTGTATGTCCACTGTCGGCAATATGCAATTGTAGAACATTTTAAAGTACTGGAAGCAACCTTTGAGTTTGCATCTGCTAAAATTCATGTCTGTGGCTTTGACTTAATATATTTACCCCTGTGATGGCACAGGTGTAGGTTGCTGAGATGTAGATGCGCTTCGTCAGGGCCATGTGTGCTACCTGGCCCAGTCCCAAGAGCTGCTGTGCCTTCACAGCATAATTACCCACAGCCAGCAGTAGCTGTGGCTGCTGCCACTGGCAGAATCACAGGAAAACCAGGTTTGGAAGCATCTGGCCTCCTGAAATAGTTTCTGGCAGTTTTTTGCACTGATGCAGTCTATTCTCCTGCCAGATCCCTCAAAGACACTTAAGAAAAATAGAGAATTTGTGATAAAATTAACTACTGCTAGAGCCTGATCTACCTACTCAGGCATTCTCACTGCTTTTAATTTCCCTCTTTTATTTCCCACAGTGTGAAATAATTCTTCTCCTTTCATAAATTCACAGAATATCTAAACTCATTCCATTGGGAGAGCAGCAATAGTTTTAGCTTAACAAAATTCTACACTTGTAAGAAAAAACTACTTCTGTTGTGATCCTGTACAGCACCTCCTTTTTTGTTTTACCATCTCTAACTGGGATCTGCAAGGATGCTATTTACATCTTGCTTCTTGCAAGACTTTTTCTTCCTGTTGAAACTTCCCTGGAAGCAGCAGAGTTCTGAATCTGCCAAGGATCTCAGGGAAGATAACTGGCCCCTGCACCAGGCACCATTATCTTTTTTTACAAACCTGAAGAAGCAGAAGAAATATTGCTTCAATACTCAAAATGTGATTAGCAATAAAGGTTGTTCTGCATTAATTCTCTGGGGACAGCAACAGTCAATATTCTTAAGAGCAAGGTCTAGGTACAGATTTAAGTCTAATGAGCCATATCAATGTTAAAAGGGTCTGTATGATCTTTGATTTTCTTTCCCTTGAGATGTCTAAGGAATTGTTTCCTTATTAAGGAAACAGGATATGCCACCTGCAAACAAAACAGTTAAGGGATAATCAATACAGAATGTGATCCCATAGAAAGCAAGATTCATAGCAGGGAGAGTTGGAGAGTAGTTAAGATTTATGTATTGTTACAATAACAAGCAGTGATTTTAAGGAATATAAAAGGAAGCAGAAGTCACCACGCTCTGTGCCCAGGCCATAATGAGAAAATAAGCAGTTTCAATTAAGATTAAAAAAAACTTTTAAAAAATACATTTATTGGAGAACACATTAAATGGTGAAGTTTTATTCAGCTTTATGATGCTTGTTTGAAGCAATCCCATTGGACAAGGCCTTGTTTTTCTTATTTATTTTAAGAGAGAGGACACCTTAGCTCTCAGGCAGAGTAGTAGAGTAGAATGTTGGTTGCAGTTTTCTTGCCTTCCCTCAGGTTGGGGCAGAATGATTATGAGACAGTAGCCCTGCAGGTGACTATCTGGACCAGTACCCAAAAGCAATTGCATTGTGGCACATTTCCCTTAGTAACAACTAAAGCCAGTGAGAACATCTTATCACAGCCTCAGATTATTAACATCATGAAAACTAACTACCTTTACTTAACTCACAAAATCCTGTCACTGGCCTTCATTAGCTGACTGGTAGCAAGAAGACATTTGTAAAGTGGGGATGTACTTATGAATAAAAAACCGAACTCTTCCCCACCTGAACATGAACAGAAATGACAGTGTGAGTTATTTCCATACAAGTAACCAAACAAAGACTAATCAAAGAATGGACTGCTTTCTACCTGTTAAAGTACAACCTCATTTTATTTTTATTAAATAAAAATTCACTGACCAAGTCATTAAGCCAGGTTCTCCAAAACACCAAAAGTTCAATCTTTTCCAATCAGTAATGCCTTTTACAGTGCCTACTGTATCCAAGTACAAAGCTTTACAAGTTTCTCTGGAGAAAACCCCCTAACCCCAAAGCATCAAGTCCACTGCCTGATCCACACTTCTGACGTGATCAGAATTCATTCGGTCTTTTCTGCTTTTGTGTCTGTGTAATGAAAGCTTTGCAACTGCAGATTATGCATCTACAAAATCTTCTTCTGTTCTGCTGTAGTGCAATAACTGGTCTTCTAATCCAAAAGTATCGATCAGCTGAGTGAGACTCACTTTCTTGCCATCTGCAGAAAAGGCCGACTGTAGTTCATACAGCATCAGCTGGGTGCTGCTTCTCCACTTCGCTATCAAAGCCTGCAATTCACACAGGTTGTTCTGCAATTGGGACAAAAGAAAACAAAAAAAAATTGTCATTTGCTGACATGTGGGGGTTTTGATACCCTGCAGATATTTTTATAAAATGCCTTAAACTGAGACAATACACAAACACCACACACCCCAAAAGACCAGTGAGTCAGTATTGCCTCACCTTAGATCGATACATCTTCACCAGCTTCAGCCTACGAAGTAATTCTTCCTTCTCTTGCACTTGTTTCACCAGCCTTACTTTTTCTTCCAGGGGCTGCTGCTGACCAAGATCAACCGGTAGCACATCCAAATTCTCTACTGATCCACAGGGATCACTCTCCTGTGAGGGACTTCTGAAACCTGTATGTGCAGTGCTGTTTCTTTCAAGGTCTTCAGGACCATCTTGTAATCTGGAACAATCCGTACCTGTCGCTGGCAGGCACTCTGTGTCAGCATCAGCACAGTCTTTTTCCTCAGTGTCTATTTTGAGCCGCTTTGCCACTGTAAAATTGGCATTAAAGGAACGTCTTGTTTTCCGTAATCGCTCCCGCAGAGCTGCACTCATTTGCTAAAAAACAAACAAACAAAAACAGGTGCTCAGAATAATCTTAAATTCTGATCAAATCTCAAACAATGTTTACCTGGTTATTGTTTATATAGAATATGTAATATATTTAACAATCATTGTAAATCCTGACTTCCTGATTCTCTCTATAGCCTTGACAAACTTGAACATAGCTAACTTCTTCTTTCCACATGTATCTGCACTCAGAGCTGCAAGATATGGAAAGATGTACCTCCACATTTTCTAGGACCAAATCCTGTATTCTGTTGAAGCAAATCTACTCATCTAGTCTTTGTGTAGAAGAAATATGCCACATTTCCACTTGGCTAACTCTGTGCTATCAAGTTTAATTTCCCCATCACCATTACAATTGCCAGGATGAAGACCAAAGCAGAGCTCAGCACTATGGAGACCATACAGACTGAAAGCAGCCTACTTTGTTCCAGTGCAGGCAGAAGTTACAGAAAGTCATCCTGCATGCACAGCAACACAGAAAACCAGGATTTGAGAAAGCTGAAGATGACAGGTCAAAACAAACAAAAAAACCCACCACAAACCCTAAAGAGTATTTAAGTGTATTAATATGGCATTTGGGTTATGTTGCTCAATCACTTTGTATTCACAGCAAACATCTACATATTCAGAGCAAAGTGTATCAAGCACATTCCTTACCTGGACAACCTTTTAGCTCTGGGTATAAGGTGTAACATAAGGTACCTGTCTTTAGCCTTCCAGCAGTATCTCAGTGACCTCTGACTCCTTGATTATTTCACAAGCATTTTTTAACTATGAAGAATCACATTACTGGAAAAACAAAGTTTCCATACCTGTTTCCCTGAACTAGTCCTCTGTGGAGGTGCTGCTCCAGAATCCTTTGGAGTATCACACAGAGATGGTAATTTATCCAGCGCTGGTTCTTCCATCTCGAGATGGGTAGCAGTCTCTGTTAAACAACACAATGAATTATATTCACCTGATTATAATGAGCCATGTGGCTGGAGAAATGAGTAAAAACCTCCAACAGGAAATTCTAATGCTTATTTTCTAATTAGCACGTTCAAAAAAGATGTCTGCATCAGTTTCACAACTGTTTCATGATGCTGAGGAGCATCTAGCTTTGCGAAAGGCTTTTCTTCAAGAGGATGCAAGACATCCTCTTGACTCCTCAAATCAAGACATCCTCAAGACTACTAACTGCCACAAAGTATCTTACTATGAATTTTATATATTACTTTTCCCTCACTCCTAAAGCTCTGTGGATTTTTTTCTTTAAAATATGAAAAATTTATAAAAAGCCTTACAGGTATTATCCACTGTACTTTTTTTCCTATTTGACATCTTCTTTTAAGTGTTTGCCTATAAATCCAAGTTCAGATCCTGACATGTTGACTCTGAATGACCCTTACTGCTTGTCTAACTCAAAGGAATAGGTGCTTCCTAAGTCAGTTGTTAAGAAACAGTCCTTTCATTTAATAATGCTACCTATATCCTAAGTAGCAATAAAAGGGTTGTTGGGAGCCAGGACGATTTTTGTTGTCCATATGTATAAACAATCTTTTCCACAGAACAAAATAATTGGGTATCCAGGTCTGTAAAAATAATCCACTGTATTATTCGATCCGTCTAGAGAATGCTGCTTAAAAAAGTAATTACTCACACGAGTAGAATTTTTGATTAACAGGAAACATCCCCCTTTCGCTCAGAAAGGCACCTTAATTAAATTGGTAAGTCACCTCTCCCAGCACGAACCAACTGCAAATCGATTTGGCAGCGTTTAACTTAGTTTAGCACTTGTGAAGCACCTGCCAATGACCAGAATGCAGCTGGAAAATCGACAGCTGCACCTCTGCTCACCTGCAAATTGCAATTAGGAGTTTTGGAACAGAGGCCTCTCAGGAATAAAATCCTCCAAACAAGTGACTGGGCAACACAAGACGGGCCCGAGGTGGGGCTTCCTCTTCAGAGGTGAAAAATGCCAAAGCTTCAGTATGCCAAAGGCTTCATAACCCAGCAACCCTGGTCTTCCTGGCTCTCTACCGAAGGATGCAGGTCATCATTTATCTTTCAAGTCAACGTTCCCCACCAGCTGTTCAAAATCGAACATACGCTACTCCATTAAAAAGCCCCAGACCTCAGTAAAGAGTCCAGTTAACTGGGTATTTTAGCAATCCATCAATTAAACAGAGAGCCCAACAGCATCCATTAAATATAATGGAAGTTTATCGATATTATTTCTTAATGTAAGTAAGAGCCTAAAAAAAGCTACATCGTGCCTATGTATACAGTATGTCACAAACACGCAGTTCAGTAAATAGCAAAATAATTTCAAACCACAGAGCTAGCTTAAATAGATAGCTTTAAAAAATCCCTCAAAACCTGTGCCTCTCCACCCTTACTTTCTAACGCAGATTCATCTTCCAGTGACCGTAAGTACAGCGAATACTTCGCTGAAGCTCTTCCTCGACAGCACAGATCTCCTGCACTCTTAAAATCCTTCCCCAGCATCACAGCCTAAGAACCACTGGCATTTTCAAGCAGTGATGCCTTTCATCACACAGAAAAATAATTCCGTCCATCAAGTAAAGAAAACTTGCTCTAGAAGGGGAAAAGACAATTTTCCACTTCAGTACTTACTTGATCTTTCACTCTGGGCAAGTCTATGAAGCTACGTCCTCAGTTTTCCTGCTTATAACTACACCACCACTCACGTCCTTTCACTTTCTCAACTGAAGGCTTTACTAACACTCAATGCAACTTTTCCCCAGCCCCCTCTGCACCCCCAGAGGAGCGGGACGAAGGCCGGGCAGCCCACAGACAGAGACACGGGCCCGATGAGCCCGTTCGGAGGGGATGCACCCCGGGGGGGGGGGTCCTGAGGCACCCCTGAAACGCTACCGCAGCGGCTGCGGACCAGGGGAGGCTCCTCGGGGAGCACGAGGCGCGGACAAAGCGAGGAGAAGCCCGGCAGGACCGTCCAGTCCCGGCCCTTCCCGACCCGTCCCGGCGGGAGCAGCGCCCGCTCCAACCTCCCGCCGCTGGGGCAGGGCCGGCACCGCGCCTGCGCGGGCTGACCGCGCCTGCGCGCCATGGGAGGCGCTGTGGGGCGGGCGGGCGGTGAAGCCAACAGGGATCCCGATCCCGATCCCGATTCCGACCCCGATCCCGATTCCGACCCCGATCCCGATCCCGCGGGCGGGCAGCAAATGCAGGGTTGGCGCCGCCCCCGGCGGGGGCCATCCCCGGGAGATGCGAGGCTGTTCTGTGTCCCTCAGGCTCCCCCCCCTCCCCATGTCTGGGGTCTGGGCCAGGTGTCACCTCACAGAATGACAGAATCAGTTGGGTCGGAAAAGACCTTTGAAATCATCGAGTGTAACCTGTACCCAACACCGCCATGTCAGTCAGACCGCGGCACCAAGTGCCATGTCCAGTCTTTCCCTAAACACCTCCAGGGATGGTGACTCCAGGACCTCCTTGGGCAGCCCACTCCAATGTCTAATCATCCTTTCTGTGAAGAAATTCTTCCTGATGTCCAACTGCAACCTCCCCTGGCACAGTTTAAGACTCTAATAAGACAGTGTTCCTGTGAGTGTCCCTGTGCCAGGGAGAGGGGCTCCTGCCTCAGCAAAGAGCACTCCCCACCTCTGATGGCATGGCAAGCCCAGCCACAGCCAAGGGAACCACAGCCATTCACCTCAAGCTGTCACTGCCTTTATCACAGGCACTGTCTCCTCACAGAAGGGATAAAACCGTACCTGAGGAGCAGGACCTGAACAGCGCTGTCTTGGTTGTGAGGAAGGACAAGTGAAAATGAAGAAACTTGACCAGAGAAACAGTCAAGGAGATTGGAACAGTGACAAGGAGCATCCCCAGCTGTGGCTGCATCCCGCAGTTCAGGATTGCAGAGCGCCCTGGCGCTCGAAGGCACTGCTGAATCAAACATGATTTTCCTGTCTTTATCGGCAAACGTCCCTTCCATGCTGCACACCTGGCTTTCCCACGTGGATTCACATTTCTCAAAACTGGTTTATACACAACGTTTTTCCAATATAACTGTCAGGAGTGATGAAATAAGCTGTGGAAACCGTAACAGGCACAGCTCCCAGCCTGCAGGCTCCTCCAGCATTGCCCACAGCCAGACTGCCCCGAGCTGCCCATGGACACCTCATGCAGCTGTGCTGGGAGCTGCACGTGGGGTACAGGCACCCACACGCCCTCGCTGGATCACGCCCTTAGCTTGTGTATCAGAAATGCATTAATTTCCTGCCTGGTTCCTCCTCACAGCTACAGATGAGGATGCTCAATTTTCTCTTCACCTTGTATAACTCCATCTGTATTGAGACCAGAGACAGTCTTGAACTGTGTGGTGAGTAAGCAGTAAATGTAGGTGTAGCACGTTAGAAGTTGCTGCGCTTTTGACCATAAAGATACGTAGATTCACTCACTTCAAGTAGTATTTGATGGGAATGATAGCAACCTTTAACTCCCCTGCAGTAAAAAGTATCAAAACATTCAAAGCCCATCTACACCAAGTTGTTTTGGGAAATCTGAGAACTTGAGGCCCTTAGGTCACTCCTTGTATAAGATTTTATCTGTCAGTGCAATTGATTTAGAAAGAATACGTCAGTAGCAAATGTGGAAATTTAGATTATATGACTAAGTTTTACAATCTTTCATAACCATTTATCAAAAAGACCTGGCACGACACCTCGTGTTGAGGCAGTTTGGAGGCATTTTTTTAAACCTGTTTTTGGTTTTTTTGATTTTTGGGGTTTTTTTAAGACCTGCAGCTAATTCAATGTCATTAATATGTTAATTTTTTTTTTTTTTTTTTTTGGTGTGTAACGCTGCTGCTGCTTTTGAGAACACACGCAGGATCACTCTCGAGGAGAAAAGACAACGCAGAAAGAATCGCGTCTCGTCTGTATCACCTGGGGAGTCTTTCTGCTGTGCCTTCTGCAACCGGACTTGTCTATCTCGTGTTGGCCTTTTTAGCCATCAGCGCGCTTGTAGCAAGCGTGGGTAGAGCCCTTTCAAATCTTCGTTCGCGAAGCCTAGCCATGATGATGATGATTTGGTGTGTTAAAAATGGACTCCTGAGTGCAGTAGTAAAAGTGCTAATAGAACTTGTGCTGCAGATTTCTGAAGTGTGTTGAATCTCAAATACTCTGGAGCTTTGAGTTGGCATGTCTCCAAGTTCACAGGGTATTTCCTTCAGTCTCAAGGATGGTCCCTGTTTTAAATTACTCATGCTCTGTTGTACAGACATGTTAACAGATGAGTTGCACAAGAAGAACAGAAAGTTTGAGATTTTAGATCATTAGCCAGGCAAGATTCCAGTAAGATTTTACAGGAACATAGCATATGAAAAAGTCATCCTGTGCATTATCATGGCTCTTAATTAGAGCAACACCCATGTGCCCCACCCCAAGTGGGATTACAGTTGTTTGGGACTGTGAATGTGGAAAGATGGTGCCACACGTTGGATTTATGAGTTTAGTATACTACAAAAAGAGTAGAGAAAAGGAAATATTATCATCAGTATTCACTGATGGGTAATCACTCATCAATCACACAAATAAAAGATACTGTTCAGGTTGATATTTCGTGTTTAACTGTGTTTGCCACATTTACTTATGAATTTTCTTGGTATTAACACACAGAACTACAAAAACATGACTTGCCCAAGATCTTTCTGGAGGCCTCTGACAGAGCTGGGGATTAGAGTGTCATCAGGTACTATCCAGTACTTTTATTGCAAAAACCCAGTAGTAATGGATATTATGTTATCCTCAACTTAATGATGGCAAACCAGAATCAGACTAAAACCTTCCTCTCAAAAACTGCACATCTGCTTTCCTTGAGGATAATCCATGTGTTATTGATATGGGATGTTTATGGCACACTGTAGAGTTTCTCGTGCTGTTTAATTAAGTTCACCAGAATGTGCAACAGTAGCACATTCATTGCAATACAGTCTTTATTAAGCCCTATAATGCCATTGTTTTATTTCCTTTATTCCTTCTGTTATCAGAAGAGTTTGAGGTAAGCAAAACACAAGGAAAAAATGCGTAGGAAATTGTGCACTGGGCAACAGAATTATTGAGCTCTGTTTGCTGAACATGCTACTTCCCTTCAGAGAAACTTGTTTTCCCGAGGAGCCAGATGGAAAAGGTGCTTCCTGGTTTTATTTTCTTTGGTATTTCTGTGATGACATTTTAGTGATCAGATAATTTTCTTTTTCCGAGTGTACTCCGGTTTGTCTGCACAGTTGAAAGATATTTTCAATGTATTAACTCCAGAAGAGCACTACTGCTGACACAGCAGCACTGATGGGACGAGGACATAATTCCCCTGTGGGCATCATCTGTAGTAGAAAAGCCAAAGTGGAAAGTAATGTTAAAGGATAGTGGCTTTGGGTTTAGAGACTCCAGTTTGACCTTTATGGGTTCTTCTCTTCCAGAGTGCCAGGAGCATTCCAAAAGTTCCATTTAACAGTTTGCTGGGTGCAAGAGTTTAGACCTTTTCTCCCTAAACGTTGCCACTCAGTCACTGGGATGTTAGTCAACATATTGTGTCTTGGGGCACATCTGCATTATCCCCGTCTCCCATTCTCCTGAAATCTGTTGATCTTGTTTAAAGCCAAGTGATGGATCCTGACGCATGAAGTACACCCTGCACTGTCTGCATATTCTCTCTCGCCTGGGGCAGGAGGGTGAGGTGTTGTTGTGTGCCTAACCACTAACTGCTGCAGAAGTTTTTAAATCCTGCCCACTTCGGCATGGGCCTAGGGCTGTGTTTTTGCTGGCTGCTATTCACTCCTCTGAAAAATGTTCTGACTTGCTTATAGCCATGTAAATATATCAAGGGAAGGGCTTTATAGACCAGATTCCTGGAGTAAAACCAGTTTACTGCAACCTGTCCTTGGGAGATGGATTTTGCTCTCATGATGGTGCAGATGTCCAGTCTCTGGAATGACAGTGCAGTCTCTGGAATGACATCAGCATAAAGCCAAAGCAAAAGTAAATTTTTGTTGCCTTTCTGCTTTACATCTGGGGCTTGTTTAGACTACCCCTTATTTCTCACTTCAATTTTCAAGGTACCCATCTTGAAAAGAAAAACTGCCTGGATTTGTTGTAGGTGGGAGGCACTGTGATTTGCCATTACAAAAGATAATGTAAGAGGCAGATGAGATGGGCGTCCTAGTTCTCACTGCCGCATGTGTAAATAACCAAGTGGGTGAGGCACAGTGCTCATAAAAGGGAGCAGCACACGGCTGCCTTTTATTTTAGTGTCTGTTTATGGGATTTTCTCCGACACAGCAAGCCAAAGATTACAGTTTGAAGTCGTTACAAGACTGTAGCAGACAAAGGAAGCAATAAACAGACCTTCAGTGTTCTTGTTGTTGCTGGAGAACTGATTGAGCGTTGTTTTAAGAAAATCCAAGCCTTGCCCAAACTAGTCCGTGATACAGCCTTTTGTCATCTGTGACGGTCTAAGCATTTTTGTGTCAAAAGTATTTGAATTACAGTGGAGCTTCAGGAGTTGTTTCATTTTCTCACGTACTTAAAGTAACAGTTCACTCAGTGCTGTGCACGTTACTCTTCGATTGCTCATATTTATCTGTGCTACTGAAATCAGTGAAGCTGAGAAAGTGGACATGGTTTATTTTCAAGTGAAGATGAGCTGGTTTGAGGGCAGTTACTCATAGTCTGGAGGCCTTGTGTGGACCCAGTGGATTAAACTGGTGTACCAAACAATCCAGTGAGCAGGTAAGCACAGATGAAGATGCACATCTCACCTTCTTCCTGGATCCCTGGGGGTTTCATTGTTGCTCTGAATGC